TCCAAATAGCTGGAGTTCAGAGAGAAGTCAGAAACCAAACACTGTTCTTATATCTGTATTCCATATCTGTATTCATCTCAATAAGATATTAAGATTTTTTTATAAACAGAGGAAATTCTGTTCATTTACTGTATCAATGTTTATTTGTATAGATGTGTATTTGTATATGTTAAAGTGTTTATAGTGCCAAAAACACACTTACTGCCTAGATAGATGTAAACAGTTCATAGGGCTGCCTATGATGAGTACTGTATCATTATTATTATTATTATTATTATTATCTGTGCATTAAAACTTGCAGAAATGAGACATGCTTATATTTGCTGTCTGTTTTAACTTCCTTTTATTTAATAAATCAACAGAACGTAAGAATGTAATAATGTAATGGTGTAATTTGGCCAGGGGTGCCCAAACTTTTACACAGCTTTTAATTCTATAGCATATTCTATTTTGGTTGGAGAATCCTGAATTATTTAATTGCAGATTCTATTTTGTATCTTTGCTGAAAAGCACACATGATATTCCATCTCTGGTTGTTTGCATGTTATGGGAAAGAAAGATTATGAGGTTCTTTACGGAACCAAAAGTGGATCTTTTATGTTTTTCCACTGTGATGTTGGGGGAGCTGAACGCAGCCGACTCAACACCATCATGTTAAATACTAAGTGTTTTTATTTCGTATGTTAGAATTGTTTGGATAAAGTACTTGAAACAGAACATATTACACCATGATATACTGTGATGAGAGAAAATCATACAGACATGCAAACGCTGCTGTCTCTCTTGCTGGATGAACGCTATGCAAATTAGCTCTGCGTCGACCAATCAGATTACTGAACTGAGGCCCCACACCCATGGCCACACCCATAGTCAAGCTACACATGCACCTCTAGCAGGAGATTATAGTGGTTGAAGAAAAATGGGAGTGTGGGATGAAAATATTATGTTATTAAAAGAACATGAGGGCACAGAAATCACCTATAACCACCTGTTTTTGATGTAGCGATACTCTAAAAGGCCTCATTAACATAAACAGTGCATGACTACTGCAGATTTTAAACATACATAAACAAAAACCTCAGATTACAACAAAGCTCGAGTCTTTGATTTGTTTAGAAGTATTTCACTCTATGAAAGCTTTAGCGCAAGTTCTGCCAGGGAGACTCCAAAGCTACGTCATTCATCACTCTGACCAATCACTGCTTCCACCTCTTTAAAATGACTCGACTTCCACACCTGCTTTGCTGCTTTCAGATGCTGATGTTTCGTCGTTCCCCTCCATCCTTCCGCCGCCACCAGTTGGTCCCCACCCGGTTGTGCAGGGAGTAGGCTCCGCCCCCTGCCATCACTATATGGCAGGATCTGCGAGGCTCTACACGTTTGAAGACCTGGGCCGACGACGGGGCCCGCGCCAAAGACTTTAACTTACAAAACTGTTATCTATGGAATTGTTAAATATAATTAAGATTCCTTCACGTTCGTCTCTGGAGTCTTTCTGGTAGAAATACAGTTCCGTTCTTTTGTTTTATTTCTAATATTGTTATAAGCAGTTGCACAATCCTGAATACTGGGGTTGCTGCAGCCCCTGTAGCACCCCTACTGCCACCCCCGACTGCAAAGAGTTCATTAACTCAGAGAAATTTAAATGCAGACCAATCGTAAACCTCGTTAAAGGTTCACAAATATATTATAGTGTATTGTGAGACATTTTGCAACATATAGATATTTTTAACATTTATAAGCATTTACACCATCATAATATTTTAGTATTTTGTTCGTCTTGTGCAGCACAACTGTAAACTCCTATCTGATTCATGTTGGGCAGGAAGCTCAGTGATGTGTGGAGTCCTGCTGAGTTCTGGGTGGAGGACGAATGCAGTCAAAACTCCTACAAATCAGCTGGGCAGCGACATCACACAGGTTCTTCACATCTACAGAACAGAGTTTTTTTGTGCCAGACCAAACACCTCCATCCACACAGCCCCCAACACCAATGGACGACTTCCTTTAAGGCCATTTCACCACACAAAGACCCCTCTATACGCCAACAGACCCCAAACCACAACCACACATATCACACACTGCCGCCCCATTCAGACCCACCCGCTCCACACGACCTGCTCTTCAGCCTCTCTCAGAGCTCAGCCCTCCTCGGCCCAGTGCTTCATTCTCCGACTCTCTGCAGATCAAACGGCCTTTGATTATTTAATTTAATACCTTTGTTTTAATTGAGTTGTTGTTGTTGTTGTTGTTGTTGTGTGTATATTGCTTCTGTGAAGTGACCCTGAGCACCAGGGAGGCGCTATATACATTAACCCTTTAAACTCTGAGGGTCTGTTTGCAGGTTTAGACCATGCTTGTGCCACAAAATGTGCTTTGAGTGATTCCAGCGTAGAACCAGTTATGGTTACCTAAAGAACCATTATTATTAGTTCATTCCAGGGTAGGAATTAGAGACAGACTTGAGGGACATGGACAAGATGGGGGAAGGGAGGGGGGGGCATGCGAAGTTATTCAATCACATAGTTTCATAGCATATACTGAATAATTCATAGTAACCAATAATAATAATAATAATAATAATAATAATGACAATAATAATAATGATAATCATTTTATTTTTTGTTATTATTATTATTAGTACTAGTATTGTTGTTGTTTTTGTTGTTATTGTTTTGTTATTTTTTATTTTTCATGGAAACTAAAATAGTTGTTGTTGTTATTTGGTCACTGACTCACATCACAAGTGTCCAGACTCTTCCGACCTTTATTCCCGAAAGGGGTCACTCAGTCCCTCTAGCGGCTGGGTGGGTCTCACTCCTGTCCAGCTGCTGAGTCAGCGGCTGTGTTACGATGAAAAGGAGCTGGAGGATTGAGCTGAAAGCTGGAGGTAAAGAGGTCACTGACGTCCACCCAACAAGGCACTTTCACTCTTATAGCTCTCCGTTTTTCTGGTGGACAGCTGGAGACTGTAGCCCATGTGCAATTTGTGTTGGTCTAGTCCTTCATCAGTGGTCAGTTTCTGACCACAGAACGGCTCTCGGCTGAATATTTTCGGTCACTGAGTCACTTTCAGCCTTGCAGTGATGCTGATGTCCAGCAGCAGCGCTGTCCCAGCATAGACCAGCACCACGCCCACTACCACACCACTGCTATGTCAGGGTCACTGCTGTACCAAGAATCTTCCACCCAAACAGTTTCTGGCACACTGTTGTCAGAAATGATGTGAGAAATGATGAATGGGTTTGAGGGCAGCTGATCAATCGTGCCCAGCAGATGACCTTCAGTCTGGAACTGCACATCTACAGTGGACAGATAAGGTGGACGGAGCTCAGAAATTAGTTTCACATTGATGGAGCTGATGATAGATTTGCTGAGTGGAACTGAAGGACAGGATTAGAAAAAGTCTCCAAAAGAGCAAAACTCCTCTGAACATCAGACGGCTTTGATGTGCGTCAGTGGTAGATGATGAAAGCCTGATTGATGAGTAATGAATCAGTCAGATGATGTAAAGGTGTCAGAGCTTTTTTGGAGGCAGAACAAAGTGATCAGCAGTCTTACACTCCATTTATCAAATCAGTCGCTTTTTTCATCACCTGAAGGAGCATCATCTCTTCACTGTTTCCACCATGATGTGGTGGAGGCTTTGGGGATTTTCAGCACATGATCTCATGAAGATCTCATAACATGAGTCTGAACACATGACTCATGTGGACGGCTGGACAATGAATTTAAAGTGACACTTCATTTACATAATTTTCACATATACTCAGCTGACTTGTTTACATGGTGTCAAACACAACACCATGTGCCACACTACAATTCCCAGCATGCACTGCAACATAACGTGATCCAACAAGCTTGCTACAAGCTTGAAATCGAAACAATAGATAAACCCTTTTCAAAAATGGTGCTGCATGGAACCATCTACACCACATTCTCCATCAGTCTGAAGAACCAATTCACCATGCAAAGAACCCTTTAATCATGCAAAGACTTTAGGTGTTCATAGTTCTAAATAGAATCTTTTTCTTTACTAAAGAACCCCTGAAGAACCATCTTTTTCAAGAGTGCAGCCAAATGATTTCTCCTAGATACACTAACCTCCACTGTCTCACCTGCAGCCCAACAAAAAATAACACAATCAACAGTTACCACGTTTAGACTAACGAAACAACAATAACAACAACAACTGTCTCTTTCACAGACGGGGGCGGAGCTTGCAGTGTATTTCAGATTACCTAACAGTTCCGCATAGTTTGAGGTGTGTGAAGGTTTTAGGAATGCAGATGATTGATGCTGATTGGTGTACATCAGCTTCCACTTCATGTTAGCATGTGGCTGATTGGCTAAATTTTGCGGTGGGTAAGGGGAGACTGTATTTCTGTAGGTTTAAATCTTATAGTTATCACTGCTGTCATGATGCTGAAAAGGGCTCAGCCAGCCTGACTGAGACACGCAGCACAGAGTTTATTAGTGCTGGAGAGAGAGTCATTATACAGACTCTAAACAAAGAAAGAAAGAAAGAAAGGAAAAAAGAAAGTGGAAGGAGTAAACAAGTCTATTTCACAGCAGTGATGGAGGGATGAGGATGCTTAACTCAGAAAAGTGCAGCCAATCAACTCTGAATAAAAAGGTGCTGAATAACTGAATGAAAGAAAGAAAAGTGGACGTTCTTCTCTCTCCTGTCTGTGTGTGAGGCTCTCTGTGGTTTCTCCCTCTTTCTCTCCCCTTTCCCTCGCTTGCTCTTTCTCTTTCTCCCCTTTCTTGCTTTCTCTCTCTCCCGCTCTCTCTCTCTCTCTCTCTCCCGCTCTCTCTCTCTCTCTGCTCCGCTTCAGTAATAATAACTTCAGTGATTCTCTGAGTTTCAGATTAACTCTTATCCTGCATATACTAACCTACAGTCTCTCTCTCTCTCTCTCTCTCTCTCTCTCTCTCTCTGGTCCCTCCCCTACAGCTCAGTCTTTGTTAGGAGTGAAAACCCTGTTTTTTTTTCCTTCTTCTTCTCTCTCTGGTGTGTGTGTGCAGTGTGTGTGCAGTGTGTGTGCAGTGTGTTGGAGGGGGAATGAGGATCAGCGCAGTGTTTCCAGACCGGACTGAGGACTCACACAGACGCAGCACAGCGGCCTCACAGCCTGCAGGTACGGCCGAGGAGTGAATGAGTGACTGAGTGAGTGAATGAATGAGTGAGTGAGTGAGTGAATGAATGGGTGAGTGCGTGAATGAATGAACGAATGAGTGCATTGTTGAGTGCATGGAAAACTGAGTGAGTGAATGAACTTCACATCAGCTGATGTGCAGCATTTCTGATGGTCCATCTGCATGAACTGCTCTGACGCTGTGAAGTTTCATTAGAAACAACAGACCTTAAACTGCAGCTCAGTGAGCAGCAGAGCAGCGTCTACAGCAGTGATGCTCAAACTGCTGAAACAAACTGCTTCTGGAGTTCAGTTCTCTAAACTAGGCTTCTCACTGTTAGCACTGCTGGTGTTGGTGCAGAGAAGAAGAGAAGGAGGAGACGGTCTGTAAATCGTGGCTTTTACTCAAGATTGATTTTCCTGTTTTTTTTCCAAAACTGTGAAAACTGACCACTTTAATCAAACCAGCCACCCACACTGACAGTGACCGACAGATTCAGTCTGGAGAATCATTTTCTGCTCTGAGTTGTTCGTGGATCAGGACTGCAGTTCAGTCTGCCTTTCAGTAAGAACACTGACAGATAGTTGGTCACTCATCATCATTGTGTTGCTGTATCCAGTAATGAGGAGCTCTGGGTGAGATTTAGAGAGGAGCTGCTTTATGAAAGTGCTCCATAGACCAGCTAGTGAATGAGAAAGTTCTGCTCTTCTGTAAACAAAAACATGAATTAAAGTAAATCATTCTTGAAGAAAGACCTTACAAAGGGGGAGTGATGCCAAAGAGGAAGAACCTCTGGTTCTACAAAGAGCCTCAAAACCATTTCTGTAAAGGTATGTGTGAAGAACTTTTTTAAAGCTTAAAGGACCCCCACATGATGTAAAGGTTCTATACCTAGAAGCGCACATCCAAATCAAGAACCATTGTGAACCTTTGTTCTGAAGAATGTTGATTGCTCTGGCTGATTGGTTCTTGGTTCTGTGTTTCTTTCTAGAGCTCTTAGGAAGTTTTTCCTTGAGTCCCGCTTCCTCTCAGCATTTGTTCCTTATGTTCCTAGAAGTTTCTCCTTCTGAGACTTGGTTCCTCTCACAATTCGTCCGGTTCTTAGAAGGTTTTCCTTTTGAGTCTTGGTTCCACTCAGTGGTTGTTCCTTATGTTCTTAGAAGTTTCACCCTTTGAGCTTTGGTTCCTCAGTGTTTTTCCTTTGGTGTCTTGGTTTCTCTCAGCATTTGTTATTTAGAATTCTCTCCTTTGGGCTTTGGTTCCTCTCACTGGTTCTTCCTCATGCTCTTAAGGAACTCTCCTTTTAGGGTCCTGGTTCCTCTAGTCTTTCCTTCTCCTGCTGTTATGGAGTTTTTCCAGACACTGCTGCTCCAGTTTGCTCATTTTTGAAACAAAGCTGCTTTGGGACAGTGACTGTTGTACAAAGTGCCATATAAGCTAAAATAAACCGAGCTGAACTGATCGGGGGGTTTGGGGGTGAAGGATTCTCGGGTCTGTAATATTGTACTAATGGAAAAGTTCTGTCATGCTGCAGTGGAAAGTCCTGCTGCTGAACCCAAAACCCTCTTTCATTTTGATTTTTCTGATTTTTGCCAGATTTTTTTCTCTGCGTTGGCTGTTTGGTCATTTGGGATGATGTTTGGAAACTGACCCATGATGACCAGAGGGCTGATTTACAGGCAGTGGCTTGTAAGGACATTGTTAAGGATGTGAATGTTAAATTGATGCTGTGGAGTTCAGAAGCTCTGGCTGGCTGCAAACTCAGGCTTGACTGATTAGAAAGTAGTGTGACCGATACAGATACAGATTTTGAGAAGCATAACGACTCATAAAATCATTTTACATGGTCTAAAATTAAACAGGCCCAATAGTTTTAACAGCGCTTTAGTGTTGGTCTCTACAAAGCAGCATGAGCTGTGGATGAAGACCCTTTAAGGTACATCAGCCAAGAAAATTGCAGTGACAGGAGAGAGAAAGAGAGAGAGAGAGAGAGAGAGAGAGAGAGAGAGAGAGAGAGAGAGAGAGAGAGAAAGGGAGAGAGAGAGAGAAAGGGAGAGAGAAAGGGAGAGAGAGAGAAAGGGAGAGAGTCACTGAGACGTTGAGGAATCTCTTCCTTGTTGAATGAAAACAGAAGAAAAGAAGAAAAGGAGAACAAAGTTGGCCCAAACAGATACAGAGGGAGATGAGTCAGTCCTATGGCTTCATCCAAACAGTGAATCTGTTATGGTGTCTAGACAAACACGATTTTCTTTTTCATATGGATCAGCAGATTAACAGATTAATGCCAGGTGACGGTAAAAAGTCTTTTTGACCTCTATAAAACCTGTCTGCGTCGTCTAATAAGGTCTTCGACAGCTTTATTATTTTTGGGTGCTCAGGCCTAACGCATCTCTTCCTCTCCCACTGTGAGTCAAGTTAAGTCGAGTCAAAGTTTATTTATATAGTGCTTTTTACAAAAGGCGTCGTCACAAAGAACCTTTACAGAAAAATCCAGGTCCAAGCCCCCATGAGCGTCGCCAATAGTGACAGTGGCAAGGAAAAACTCCCTAAGAACAAGAGGACGAAACCTTAAGAGGAACCAAGACTCAAAAGGGGAACCCATCCTCCTCTGGTCGACACCGGATAGCAAAACAATAACAGCAGAGAATGAGATTTGATCATTAGTATAACAGCCCAAGCTGTTGTCTGGTTAGCTAATCGTTCTGGACATTAAGGGTCAACAAAGTTCCAAAAACATAATACAACAAAGCACAACACGTATCAAAATTAGAACATCAGACCGCGAAGTCGATCCCTGGTGTTGTGAGTTCAATCCCCAGAGCGATGCTAGCCAACAGGGATGCCTGTTAGCTGATGTAACAGAATTAGCAGTTAGCGTTCTCCTCCAAGCGTGTTGAGTTGGTAAATAATTAGAAGCAGGCAGAAAAGATTCAGTGGAAGCTTCACGTGACGTCTTCACCCTCCCAGCTTGGTAGCACTGTGGGGATGCAGATCTACCTAGTGGGTGGAAATGGTTCTGACAAAATTAGGAACAAAAAATGAGTACAATAAGTAGAGTGGCTACCACTGATTAGGCAGGGCTAACAACGCTGACTTAACTTGCGCTAGGCTGCAATTTCCCAAAGTTTCAGTATGCTACATCACTGGCTCTGCAGTTCAGTGTCCTAGAACTGTCAAAATAACAACATATCATATTACCACCCCCTAGTGGTGATTACTGGATCTGTAAACTTCCATGCTGGAGCTGCTAACACACTAACGCATACATTTGTGTGGTGCTAAATGATGGTCTGACGAAATGAAATGCTCCAATCTAAAGTGACGAATGCTGCAGCTCTGTAAGGATGAGTCTCCTGTGTGTGTATAATTGAGTCAGATTGAGGTGCTGGACTGTTAGAGAAACCAGATACATCCATTACTGACAGAGTCTGCAGGCCGGAGTCCAAGCCGCTGGCTCTGAGAGCTCATACTGCAGCCTCTGAGTCACTTTCCTCCTCAAAGCTCCGCTAACTGCAGCCTAAATCAGTCCCCTGTACGTGTACACGTCTTACATCAGCTCACAGACAGGCTGGAGGACTGCAGACTCTCCTGAAGATCAGGAGAGGACACAGAGAGAAAAACACTATCATAGCAAGTGATCTTAAATGTCATCTCACTGTGAAAGTGTGAGAATATTCCAAAGTGCAGTGTTTATGTTGGGCTGAGGGCCAAAATACAAAATAATTCACAAATAAAGAAGACAGGCGAGTTTCAAACTCCTTAGAGTAACTTTTTGGCGGGTCAGATCAAACGTACCTATGGGCCAACTTTGGCGAGCAGGACACACTTTGGGCAGCCCAGTTTTTACCTATATAAACAATCAGGTGATCATTGATCTCATTGTAGATAGAAATAGTTAGAATAATCTCACAATATGTTCTCGTAAAGAAATATGATTGCCTACATTTAAGATGCTTTGTTTGTGAATATATCACTTTTACCAATGCATGTATAATTAGTGTCATTTCTGGTCAGTGCATATGATCATATATGCACTTTGTATGTATCTGTTTGTATCTGTTGCGGCACATCCCCCCCCCACCCCCCACCTCTATCCTGTTCCTGAAAATCATACCAAATGATGTTGTTAGTGATGGTCCTACGGGGGTCTCTTTTCATTGGTGGAAGGGTAGAGGGGGCTGATAAACTGTGCAGTAATAGATACAGTCAGTAACTGTAAACCCATGAAGTGCATCTATAGGGTAGGTGTTTCTAAACTGGCCAGTGAGTGTAGATACTAAATACAAGGATCTAATGAATTTGCAGTTTTGTTTCTGAGGAAAACAACACTGAGCTAAAGATATGAGAAGCTTGTGCATCTCAGACTTTTGATGGTGCAGCTAAAGCAATGATCACTGTTTTCCTGAGCACGGCCGTATAATTTGCGACTCGGTCTCATTTGGTTATTATTTGTCTCCCTCTAGTGGCCACAACAGGCACCACACTAACTCTGGCCTTCAACTGCTGAGAGGTTTGAGCTACATAAGAGTGATTATTGGAATGATAAGACAAGTTCAAGCTGTGTGTGTCAAACAATAACTCACAGATTCTTGTCCTTTAATATGTGGCCACTTATTAATATATTCTTCTAGAAAACTGAATCAGTGTGACGTCATATTTTTGTAAGTCTTAACCTGTAGCTGTGTGTGAGGTTTCTCTCCTTTTATATTTTTTGTCTTATGAACATGTTTTATGATCAGGTATTATTCTCTATTCTCTCTATATATAAACCATTAAATGCTTCTATTGGTTCCTAATTTTTTTTCTTGATGGGTTGATATCACGATGTAAAGGATCCTAATGGTTTTATAGGCGACCTGTAACTGATTCCAGAGGTTTTCTACCGGAATCTAGTGGTCTCTAAGGGTAACTAAGCCAATCCCCCTTTAGAAAGAAAAACCATCAGGATCTAATGGTCTGTTTTCGAGAGTGATGTAGTTCATGAGCCAAAAAGTAATGGAAGCCAATTAGCATTGAGCTGTTTACATCCCATAATCATCACATACTTCCCTCAGACTGGGTTGAGTTGTCATGTAATCTCAGAAGGACCTGCTTATGTGGTTTCTGACACCGTATGACCTTCTGTCCTCTATAATAACGGACACGTTTGTTGCACAAAGCTAGTCTTTGTTTCATAGGTAATAATAGGCTATCCAGCTAAAACAACAGCACAGACTAAACTGGTCTAAGCTGGTGTATTCTGGCCTAGTGCTGGGCTGGTGCTGGTTTAGCTGGTCAACCTGCATGGTCACGCTGGTTGACCAGCATACCAGCATCCAAAACACAACATATGCTAGTTTTGCTGGTGATCAGCGTGTTAACTTCCAGCACTACTGACACATCAGGTGTTCCACAAGGAGGGGTCATCTCACCTTATCTCACCTTACCTGTTTTTACTTCATAGGTCCACAAGGTCAGTTTTGTTTGAGGATACACTTAATATGGGCTGTGCTGACGACACAGGGTTGCCTGGTGCCATGAAAATGTCCGATTTTGGCAGTGACACCTCAGTGGAAAGTGAAGTTAAGCAGCTGCAACAAATAATATGGTCCTCTAAGGCCAGAAGTCGGTTGAGATGAGTGTGTGTTTCTCTAAAGATCCTCCCCAACTCCCTGCTTTAATCACTGGTGGACAGGCTGTTCCTGCTGTAACTAAGACAAAATATCTGGGCTTTTATCTGGACAATCAACCCAGAGGAGATTCTCATATCAGAGGCAGTGAAAAAGGCGTCTAAGCGGTTGCATTTTTTTCTTGGCAAGAAATGTTGAAGATCTTGTTGATGTGTGTAACACTATCAGGCCCTACCCAGAGTTGCTGCTGATGGGCTGCACAGAAAAACAGCGAGCAGCTCCGGAGGGATCAGAAAAGAGGCATCAGAATCGTGACATGGTTTCATAAGACTCCTCTACATCTTCCAGATCCACAGAAACGGTGGAGCAGACCACCATAAAACTGATAAAAGACATGCAACAGCCCAGTCCTCCTTTACAGGACCTCCTTCCACTCAGTAAGGGAGAGAGAACCGGGCGTCTCCTGTGGAATAAATTCCAGCTGTCGCTTGTGCAAACAGAAACCAACAGACTAAGAAACTCCACTATTCCATGGGGCCTCAGGCTGTTGAATTCATTGTAGTGTGGTGTTTTTGTATCTGTGTATATATTTTTGTATATTTATTATTTTAAATGGTGTGTAGTGTATTTTTTGTGTTGTGCAAAATTCAATCTTTGGATTGCAAGTCAGAATGTTTTGTAAATAAACTAAACTAAACTAAACTAAACATTTCGCTGCTGTCGGAACAAAATCTCCATTTTTGTGATTTTTCAGTTTTTACATAGTTTGAAAATCTCACTTACTCTTTACATTACAATTTCATGATGAATGGACCAAAACAAACGGCCCAAAATGACTGGGGAAATCGTCTGGTTCCATTGACTTACATTAAACGTAAAGAAGGTTTTTAGTAAGTGTTAGTAAGTCACCATTTTGGAGATGAGGTTTTGTGGCTAGTTTTGCTGGTGACCAGAAATACTGGCCTATTCAGGGACACAGTGTCTGAAAACACCTGAGTACGTTTATCTGAACTGAACACCTCAACACAGGTGCGGCAGGTGTGATGATTTAGGTGTGCAGTTTGTTTGGCTTCCACAGCTTATTAGCTGCATTAGCATCACAGCTCCAGTGCAAAACTTGAAAAGCAGATTCAGACACCAAACACGTCTCTGCTGATTGACCACATCAGAGATTTTCTAACATGTATGTCTTCCTTCTGTGTTGCCTGTCAGGTGCAGGGCTGTGTGCGTGATGGCGTCCGAACCCCTTAGCGTCCTGCTCTCTGCGTCCGTGCTGACCCTGCTGTTAGCTGCAGGTGTGGTCAGTACAGGTGAGGATGAGTACACCTGGCCAGAGCAGGAGCTTCCTCTCCTGCGCTTTAAGCGGACCATCCGACTGGGCAGCTCCAGCTTCACGGCCGAGGGGCAGACCGAGCTGCATGGGATGTGTGGGATCGAGTGCCAGCAGAGGCTTCCAAACCCCAGCCTGGAGGACCTGGAGCACATGCTGTCCTACGAAACCATGTACGCTAACGGCACACGAACGCTAACCCCGGTTAGCCTGCAGGACGGGACTGAGCTCAGCAGCGCAGCTGCTAATTCCTCCTCGTCCAGTTTGCGGCACAAGAGGGAGGTTTATGGCCCAGATACTCGCTTCACCATCGCCGACAAGCAGTACTCACTCAAATACCCGTTTTCCACTTCGGTCAAAATCTCCACCGGCTGCTCCGGAGTGCTGGTTTCCCCCAGACACGTGCTAACAGCTGCCCACTGCATCCACGACGGCTTAGACTACCTGAAGGGGGCGCAAAAGCTGAGTGTGGGAATCCTTCGTAAGGGAAGGAAGGGCAAAGGTCGAGGGAAAGGAGGAGGGAAGAGGAGGCGAGGGAAGGAGGGAGAGGAGGAGAAGGAGGGAGAGGAGGAGAAGGAGGAAGAGGAGGGAAAAGGAGGGAAGAAGAAAGAGGAGCGCAAAAAGGCAAAAGGTCGAAAGAGCCGCAGCAAACGCAGCGTAAAGGCCGAAGGAACGTCCTTCCGCTGGACGCGGGTCAAACAGACGCAGGTGCTTCTTTAAGCTTTCAGATTTGCTAACTGTAAAAAGATTTAGGAAAATGATTTGAAGCCCTTTTGATGTAGTACGTAAACACAAAGTTTCAAAACATACCGTTTGTTCTCCGGTCCGTGTGGAGCGTGCACGACTGAGCAGAACAGCCTGTTTTGAATTCATTACGGTTGTGATGTCACAACAATGGTAACATCAAAAACAGTCTGTTTAATCCTCATGAATAAAATGTTGAAAATAGTAAAAATAAATTATGACAAACATCACAACCAATACAAATGGATACAAATGGGCCCTTTAATCATATATAAACATGCAGTAATGTGCAAAAATCAGAGACCAGACTTCACTTATTAACTTCCACTCAAGTTCCAGGATTATTCAGCCTCAGGATAAAAAGCAGAAATCATATTTAACAGAAAATCACTGAAGCCTGAACAGCTGATATAATATTATAATATTTTTATTACACATCCTTTCAGACTCAGCGTTAAAAGCTTTCAGTTTTATCCGGTGGGGACAGTTTTGGTGTCTGCCAGGTCTTCCAGTTGTTAGGAGTCGCATTTTCTCTGTGTTGTAATTATTTTTGAACTCTAGTTTTAAGAACTTCTGTTTTTATTCGCTTATTTTTCTCGGACTCTCTCTTTAGTTATGTAAGTGCATCTAATCTGCCCAAAAATATCTCCAGAAAAAATAATAACTTTTTAGTTTTGACTGTAAATTAAATGAATGAAGGGTCTCTGACTTTTGCACAGAACTGTAAGTAATTTCCGACTTTTAAACCGTGTAAATAAGAGTGAACTTTATTAATTTCTTCTTCTTATTATTATTATTAGGTGCCTAAGGGTTGGTTCAAAGGCGTGTCAGAGGGCGCTGCAGCAGATTATGATTATGCCGTGTTGGAGCTGAAGAGGGCGCAGAAGAGTCGCTACATGGACCTGGGCATCGTCCCTTCAATCAAAAAACTCCCGGCTGGCCGCGTCCACTTCTCGGGCTTCGATGATGACCGGCCAGGTAACCTGGTGTACCGTTTCTGCTCCGTGTCTGACGAGTCCAGTGACCTGCTGTATCAGTACTGCGACGCCAAGCCCGGCTCCAGTGGTGCCGGAGTGTACGTGCGGCTGAAGGAACCCGGCAGCAAGAGGAAATGGAAGCGGAAGGTCATCGGGGTGTTTTCGGGCCACCAGTGGGTGGACTTGAACGGGCAGCAGCAGGATTACAATGTGGCCGTGCGAATCACACCATTAAAGTTCGCACAGATCTGTCACTGGGTGCACGGAGACTCTGGACAGTGCCAGAACGCCTGAGGCAGTGCTGCTGAGGCCGGTCTGACTGACCACCCCTCTGTCCTCCCCATCTTTTACCCTGGCGGTTCCCAACCCTCATCCTGGAGTACCCCTAGCACAGTTTTGACATATTACAGAGTTGAAATGGACACTTTTTTATTTTAATGTGACACAGATCTGTAGAGCAAGACTTTTTAAAGAAACTCAAAACAACATATAAAGAAGTTTATAAGAACCGGCTTAAATGCAGGGCTTAAAAAAGAGATGTTCTCCACTTTTGGTTCTCTAAAGAACCAGTCTGGTAAATGAGGTGTGCAAGTGAACTGAAGAACCTACACACAGTCATATGCAAAACTTTGAACACCCCTGGCCAAACGGCATTTTGTTGATTTTCCAGGTGAACAAACTTCATTTTTCATGCAAATTTTAGTTCTATTTATTTGCTCAGTTTAGCACAATTTAAAATGTCCCAAAACACAATTCGTTATTTTTTCTTCCAGTTTATTCAGTCCAGCTAATAAACAGCAGCTGTGTTAAATGTGCAGAAGTGTTCTCAAAATCACGAAACGTGATCAGGGGCGCTTAAACTTTTGATCATGGAAAAGTCCTCCACCAATTAAAATAGTTTTCCTAGAAGGCCAAGAACCATTTAGGAACCTTTATTTTGAAGAGCGTAGTGTTATGAAGTTGATATATCTAATGTTTCTCATTTTGAAATCGGTGTTTGCTGATTATAATATTATTTAACTGATTTCTAGACATTGTTTACCTGTTTTGGGTAATTTATTCAGTAAAATTATCTCACTGTACCGACAGATAATTCAGCTGATTTCAAGCTCATTTCTTACAACAAGCAAAATGATCTGCCCGTACTGTGAGATCATTTTAGTTAATAAAATCACTTAAACAAGTAAAAATGTCTATAAATAAAGAAAATAATCTTAAATTAAGCTCAAAACAATCTCAACAGGAGAAATATTAGATTTATATTTAGGATAATTTTACTTGACAAGACACCTTTTTTTTCTGCAGTGTATTTAAGAACCTTTGTAAGAGAATAAAAACTAATTTATCTGAACGTCTGAAAACACTAAGATGATTTTATTTCTGAAAGAGATTTTTAAGAATTGGGCCTCAGTTTTTATTTTATTTATTTTTTTACTGTGTGATCACAAACATTTATCACATCTGAGCCACATTTCTACACTAACTGTCCGAAAGTATCCAGACACCCAGCAGACTGGGCCCCTCTGCAGCCGCCACTACAGACTTTTGGACGTACAGTGTTTGTGGTCCTCGTGCAGGTTAAAGGTCCACCAACTCCAGGGTTTAGCCAATCAGCAGCCACAACTTCATAAAAGCGGAATTTCCAAAACAGCATCACCCAGCAGAGAGGATGGAGAACAGCAAACACACGTCTTTATATTTTACTGGAAGCATCATCGTCACCCAGAGGCCTCTGATCTCATTTAGGACTGGCCTGTTGGTTCCTCACTCCGGCTCTCAGATCAGACGGTCACTGCCTTAAATATTAATTTATTTAATTCTTAAACTAAACCTGGCTATGAAAGGGCTATATGGAAACGCATTACTTGGTAGACTAGTGAGACTAGACGTTAGCGCGAGGGCTCACTGATGCCCCGCGAGAGCTTTAGGATGCAGCTTGGATCTTTACATTTATGCCTTTTCATCTTTCGCATGTGGTCAGTGTCGCTTTACGGAGGGAGTGTCCAGACTGGCCGAGCTCGATTTGGCTCAGTGACCCAGGAAAAATGGAGTTTTTCTGAGTGGTATATAGTTATGGAGGTTTTAATATTTTAATATTTTTAAAACACAGGTGCTCATGTTCTTGGTGCTAATTTAATGTTTAATGTTTAATATTAGACATCTGAAGACCCGTCAGTGTATATTTACATAGTGTACTGTAGAACTGTAAGTATTAAATATGAGGGTGAATTGGCGAATTAATGTACGGCGATGTTTCTCTATTAAATGTACTGAAGGGTATTTAAATGCAGATCCTGGACATCATTTGAGTTCTGTGATTACATTATAGATTTGGCAGATAACAATTGTGAATCAAGATTTCATGTCAATTCATATTGATTGTTCCAAAATTTGTTTAAAGTTTGTTGTTTTTCATCAAATAAATTAAAATTCATACATAATGCTGTGGAAGGGTAAAGTTAAGAAAACTTTTTTGGGTCGTAAACAAGAAACTTGTTGCAGAAACACCTAAAAGTCTCACTGTTTGCTCTTTAAAAAATGCCCTAAATTTGGTTTTGTGACCACACACTGAAGAGACACACTAAATGTCCAACAGTCCAGACACTCTAATTTATTTAATTCATCTACTTTAGGGATCATCTATTCCTAAAACAGGTGCACACACATTTTAATAAATAAAAAGATATAGTTTAATAAAGTTTAATAAAAACACTCCAATATTTAATGATGCTACTGTACTGCAGTGTATTTATAATGGAAAAAAAAATAAGGAAAATCAATTAATCATTTATCATTACCATCACTGGATCTCTACCATCATAAGTGACTGTGTAATGGTAATGGAATATTACACACTTAAAAAAAGATGGTTCTTCAAGGTTCTTTAATAAACAGTTTTATACAGAACCATGAACACTCAAAAACACCTTTTCATGATTAAAGGGTTCTTTTTTCTTTCTTTTTGAAAACGGTTCTATGTAGCACAAAAAAGTTTCTTCTATTGTTACAGGCTTGACACGTAACAATAGCAGATCCTTATTGGTGCTACATAGAACCCTTTTCAAAAAGGTTTTATACAGAACCATGTACACCATGTTCTCCATCAATCTGAAGAGCCATTTTACCATGCAGAGAACCACTTAAGCATGAAAAGGGGGTTTCAGTGTTCATGGTTCTATATAGAACCATTTTCTTTACTACTTTTCTTGACTAGAACCCCTGAGGAACCATTTATTAAGAGTGTAGCATAACAAAAGTACCAGTTTTTGGAGAAATCTAGCTTTAGTGAGGGTCTCTGAGCTGGTTGAGTGTTTTGTTTGATGATATGTGGGCCTGTGGTGGTGGTGAAACATGATATTTTTCTCCGCCCACTGGTGCACAGTGATGTCATGAAAAGTCAGAAGACGTTTTTAGATGCAGACAAAAGTCGTTAGATGGAAGACAAACAAGGCTTATGGTTAAGACTTCTTCAAAAATCTTGTGTTATGGTGACTTCCGCTTATTATGACCAGGAACATCAACTAACATATAAAAAAAATAAAAAAAAATAATTTGAAGTTCACTTTTAAAGGACATTTCTAGCCTTAAGCATGTTGCTTATCTACTCAGCCATGTGCTCCGCATCATATTTCTATTTCTCTAAACCATGATGGAAATGACAGCAGAATTTGGTGCAGCTGAATTTTGCTATAAAAGTTCAAATTCAGCTTGGAACAGAAAAAACACTCAGGTTTTTAAGGTGCAGTGCGGAGCTTCAGTGAGGACAGTAAAAACACAGCAGGACGTTTCATCTTCAGTGCGTTTATTGCATCTCAAAAGGCTTACATGCACCGGGTCAGGGAGTCATAAATCTATGAATAAATTAAATAAATAAATAAATCGATCTGGAAAAATAAACAAAAAGAGACAGATTATCTTCCGCCATTTTCTACCAATCATTTTTCACAACAACCGAAGGTTTACAGTATCCGATACGAGGACGAGCAGAACAGGTCTATGTGGGAGCGAACGATACGGAACTGACTGCACTGGGTTACACGTCATTACCGTAACACTGTTTAACAGTGAGCTCTTCTGGAAACACACACATCTACCATCTCTGAGCAGCCAGGAGGCCAAATAAACCTGATCTAGAGCCCAACTGGAGCGGGATTAGTTTTAGCCTGGGTGTTTGTGAGATACTGTCATTTCTAAAATGGGACCCAATTTTAATCCAGTATGAATCTGCAGTAGCTGTACAGTCTGACGGTAGTAACTGTGGAGCGATTTTAATCCTGCTGATACACACGGCCGTGTGTTGTGCTGTTATTGTTATTGAGTGCTTTCTGTGCTGTAATGTTGACATAAGCATAAAAGATTCAGTCTGTCTGTAGCGACGTACACAGATACTGTGTAAATCAAATCTTGAGAAATTGCACCACCTCCTCGGGGAAAACTAATCCAGCTCCAAGAGGGCTTTATTCACCTACAGATGAAACACACTTTTCCGTTATGTATCTGCTGCGTCTTTGCCAGAAGACAGTGAGAAATTAAACATTATTTCAATATCACACATAACAAACCAGGTGTTGGATCAGTGTTGTGATCAAAGGGGGACGGGACTAAACATTTCTGTCTACATTTATACAAAAATAACACCGACCAGCTTACGTTTAGTATTTAAACAGCACAAGCAATCATGGAAATCAAAACGCCACTGACAGACAGTGGGGAATCGTGGGAAAGTTTAGCATCATCCCTCAAAATCCAGCTAATGTAAATGTAGTTCTTTTATTCGTGGATTCTGAAAATGACTTGCTGTAGTTTCCACCCACTTAAATTCAACCTGGCATCAAACAAAAACAACATATGTTTTAAAAATAAAAATACAGATGAAATATTTTAGGACTCGACGGAACGATTCAGCTAGAAATGCTAGGAAATTCACTTTGAATGGAAGTGAGTAGCCATCATTATTAAAATAGCCTTATTAAAATGATGAGTGGCTATTAGCTCCCACTGGTTTCAGGTACATCAGCAGGTTTACTCAACCTGTTCCTTTAACATCGGACTGACAGACGTCCTTCATCTAAACGTTTCCATTAAAAAGGCAGAACGTGAGGGAGAACCACGATTAACCATCCAAAACAAAGACATGTCATTGAGGGTTTATATAGAATTTAGAAGCCGAGATATGATACTCGTTTATACATATACTGTGTATGTATATTGTATGTATAAGTTATTTTCAGAAACAAATATGTATATAACCAGTGATGGGAGATGACCACGTCATAATTTCATAATCAGATTCACGTCAATAAGCTCATCCACAGATACAGAGTAGAGCATTTTTTTTTTTCATTTTTCCGAGTATATACACAATTACCTTCTGCAGAGGACACGTTACACGCTGCTCCGAAATGGACACAGAACAGAAAGTGTGACCCTGTGACCCCACAGGAAACAGCTGGGGCAGAACAGGAAATCATCAACACACCCACACACACGTCATTCGCACTCAGATGCCAACACTGGAAAAACTCTACATAAATACATACGTCATTTTTTAAATCGCTTTAAGTTTGAATGTTTTTATTTTCCATTAAAACAAATGGTTAGATTACGTTGACATAAGCACACCTTCACTGTTCTTTTGTTCTTTTACATTTTTTCTCTATGTTTCACTTCACAGTTTGTGCTACGACATTACACGGAGCAGGGAGGGGGGCAGGGGTGCGTGTGTTTTCGGGTTGTGGCTAACTGAAGGTGTGTAAACGGTCAGCGGACGCGCCACTCTCACCGGAACCCAGCAGCAAAACACTAAAGAGAGAGAGAGAGAGAGAGAGAGAGAGAGAGAGAGAGAGAGAGAGAGAGAGAGAGAGCACAGAACAGAGAGAATGATTGGAAAAACATTCATTTACAGCTGTTTGGTTTACAAAATCTAATTTATACACTTTGCCCCCAAACGTAGCAGGTGCTGTGCTGAGGTTTGATTCTTTAGCTATGAGGCTAACATAGCTGATAAGTAATGGAAGCTGCTGATGTCCCACCAGTTAGGATGATAAAAACTGTGTGCATAAATCAAACAGAGCAGCTTATGATGTTTCGAACATCGTATGACAGACTGAGCCTGTTTACACGTATCTACTTCATGCATCTGGGGCTGATTACATTAATATCCAATCATAAGAAGCCAAATCTGATTGTTTACTTCAAACAAACAAGCAAAAGAAGAACAAAACAAAAAACAAAACGATGTCTTTTTGTCCAAAACGATGTAGTGGTTTGAGCTTATACAGTGCAGTGTGCGCTGGCTGCTGAACAGACCTCCTCATCACCCTGAGCCCCTGATTGAGATCCGTTCACAGAGTGTATCTATCATGCTGTCAGAAAGACGTACACCACTGTAGTCAGAAGTGAACTGTGGTCTTAAGTGTAAAAGCAGCCAGGACTCATTGGAGACGAATGGGTTACTATTCAGTCGCTTAGACCAGTTCAGAAACACATCTTCACATCTAAGTCTAAAGCCCAATCTCATTTCCACCCCTTGTTTTTGAGTGTCGCCCCTTGGAACTGAGTTACAGGGTAGTGGTTGAAATCATCTCTACGAAATGGAGCAACCCTCAAATAAAAACAGCATTACCTCATTAACAGCCTCTAGCGCTGCTCTGTAGGTCTGCAGTCTGCAGGTAAAGTTCAGCTCCTCACTGCTGGGCTTTAGTTACATTTAGAGCATCACAGGAAAAGCAGCACAGATGCAAATAGGCTTTTTATCCCGTCTAACTGGCCTTTATTTAGAGTCCAAGCATAAATATTTTCTTACGGACAAAATTCAGGTTTAAAGATGGCTGCTACTGTGTTTAACTCACATGCTTGAAGGGAAAATGAGTTTAAACTGAATTTTATTGTTGAACTACTACTTTAAATGGCAGCAGTAGGTCGCCAGATCTCCTGGAGATCTACTATAAACCCACACATAAAACACCAGCTCCAGCTGTCCTGGAGACCAGCATGGTGGACCAAACTGTGTAGGACAGTGGGAATCCAGCAGGCTCACTGATGAACTGCGTTACTGTAGCATTTCCAAACACAGAGCAGTAGAAGATACCTGGGAGATTACAAGAAGTCCTTAATGTTGAGGTCAGCCAGAGGGTCTTTAGTCGGAGGCTTCTTAGGGCTCTGCGCTGCTGGGCCTGGAGACAGCTAGAGGAAAAAACAGCCATGTGTTATTTGAACATTACAAGAAACAATCTGAGTTTTTGATCTCTATGTAGTCAAAGGGAAACAGGACGGAACACTTTTGTCTCCAGTTTCACAAAAACAAAACCTGCAAGCTTAGACAAACAGCACAAACAGGAATTACTGAGGCTTTTACAGCCATTCCTGAAGATTTTTAAGAAAGAAAAATTCAAGAAGAAAATTCAGGAACATGGTGGTGTCAGCAGAGGAGCGAACGGCGGCAGAGGGGACACTTTTAAATATAAGTATTGGGTTTAAACGGAGTCGAATAGCGAATGATACAGATGTTAAATAAAGGCCAATGTGGTCTGAAGCTAAACTTATGCAAACGTGTAATAAATAATAAAAAAAAAAAACAACTTCATCTTTACAGAACTTTAAAAGAAAATGACAGGAGCGGTGTTTCGTGACGCAGCCGTGAGGGCGGTAACCGTGGTGCTGTGACGCAAACAGGAAATCCGCCATAGAGCAGACTGTCTCACTTCAGTACAGCCTTCACGGGTCAACACCGCCTTCATAGACCGCGTCCCTCGAAGGATGCAGCCCCTGAATTAGGACACACCTCATATCTCGCTTTAGTCACTGCTCCTTTTGAATCAGCAGTCAGTTGTGCAGCCTTTAAGACTGAAGTTCCTGCCATTCGTGCTCCAAAGCCACTAATGCTGTTTATATTATGACTGTCAACAACAAAGATGTTCTTTTGTTTTCAATGGAAAGTGAAGAAAAAACTGCCACCATCAGCACCAATGACGGCGAACAGTACTGGTCAAAGGAAAGTTCAATTTCCCCAACTTCTGCTATCAGTCGCAGCAGTGGAACAAACTGAATGTTGATTTTTCGGGATCCACAAACGCCTTCAGCCTCTTCTTACCCTAAGTAAATAACCAGCACTGTTAAAGGGCTCTGATCCATTTTAGCCACAGAAGCTGCCACCACTGCATGTTTCCATGGCTGCTTGCTGCAGTCGTGCTCTGCTATGAGGCACAGAACGACACGCTTTAAATGAAACAAACGCTGCATTAGATCGTTTTTTTCTCCTGCTATCCTGCACCAAAATCGAGGAAAACTGGTCCTTCTCAGCATTTTAATACATGCCACAGTTGTGCAGCACACCTGTCTGTAAACATCTGCACTCGTTATATTAAATTTATTCAGGTTTTTCCTTTAACCTCTGACCCGTCTGCAGCTCGTTTGTTAGCGGCCTGTTCTGAACAGTTTCGATCCTTTTAGTGTTTTTTCTGTGTGTGTGTGTGTGTGTGTGTGTGTGGAGATGTTTACTGGGGCTCCAGGTGCTCCAGGCGCTCCTGCAAAAGGCGGCCTCATCATAGGCTGACCCATCATCATCGGCTGGGGCATCATGGGAGCTCCAGCACCAGCAGCTGGGGGCTAAATAGAGAGCAAGAAAGAGACAGAGATGGACACTTGTACATGAGATCAGACGATGAACAGTAACTTGAGTCCTAGAAATCAGACTCTGTTCTCCCTCACCAGGCTGAATCCAGGCTGTGTCCCAATGGTAGATGGCATGGCTCCAGCAGGGGGCGCTCCAGCTGCAGCTCCAGGCTAAAAACACACAACAGAACTGAGATGACCTTCAAACCATGCTTGGAACAGTCACGGTAAAATGGCAATGCAAGTTATGAGCTCACAAATGCTCTATTGACTGAATGGGCACAAATTCCCATAGACACACTCCAAAGTCTGTGGAAAGCTTCCCAAAGAGTGGAGGCAATAATAGCCCTAAGGGGCTATTATTATTATTATTATTATTATTATTATTAATGCCCATAGTCTTGGAATGGGATGTCCAACAAGCTCATATCAGTAAGATGATCATAGGTCACATACTTTTGGCCAGACAGCATACATAAGAATCAATTGTGGCAGGTGTGTTATATTTTGCCCATATATTTGCCTATTTTGCCCTGGAAAACTGTGTAAATTAGATTTTTTGCTGAACTGCTCCTTCAATGTGCTGCTATTCCTTTAATGTCTCCAGAACTAGGGAGTGAGAACAGTGTAATAAGTGGATCGTCTGCCCAGTGCATACTGCAATATGGTGCTCAAAACTGTACCATCTGTGCTGCAGGTGTGCCCCAGCTGGTGGGCGCGACCTGTGGAGTCCAGTTTGCGCCGCCAGTCAGCTTCTTCTCATCCCTGCATCAAAAATATAAGCAATCAGTCCATCCTGTCACACATTATACAGCAACGTCAGCTCAGTATGTTACTTTACATTTAGGGCATTCGGTAGACGCTCTTATCCAGAGCCTCTTACGATTTGATCATTTTACCCAGGTAGGTGAAGGCGGTGTTAGGAGTCTTACCCAAGGACTCTTATTGGTATAGTGTAGGGTGTTTACCCAGGTGGGGACTGAATCCCCAGTCCACACCGTAGAAAGCAGAGGGGTCACCCACTACACTACACCAACCACTAAAGGTCTATACCTTTACCCTCCTCATCAGTCTAACTCAACATGCCATGACTTATTCATTTAGCCATACTGTATCCATACAGTAAAGACCTCGAGTAGGACACACTAAATGAGCATTCTGAGCTGTTTTTCTATAGAACTGATCAGCCACTTCACCCTAATTGATTCAGACTAAACAGCTCTGCTGGTCAGGCAACAGAGCCGTTCACCATTAGAGAAATGACAGCTAATATCACATGTAAACTGGATTACTGACAAGAATAAGAACAGAGCACACACACACACACAGACACACACACACACACACACACACACACACACACACACACTCAAACAGAGTGAGACAGATGGTGATCTTACTTTTTCTGGTTTCCCATCCCCAGATCTGCAAATGGAAAAGAAGCCGGTCAGTAACTTCTAACTGGATGGATCAAAGTCTGACGATGGTTCTTTGAAGGTGATAATCACCGTGTTGTGGAGGAGGACTGCACAGGGCTGGGGGGCTAGTTTTAAACTGAGTCCTATATATGCAAACATTTGGACACTCGGTCAAACTACAAGTATTTGTAAGTGAAAATAAAATAAAACATGTTCTCCACAAGAAACTTAAATATGGCATTTTTTGCTAATTTGGTGTACAATTTCTATTCATTTGCTGACTTTAACATAACCATAACTTTTACACAGGCCACATTTCATTTTGTCTTATTTTTCACAACATAAACAGTTTCTGTATATTAAAATGTGAAGTGCGTTCTCTGTAGAGGGTGCGTTCACTTATTATCACTCACAAAATCAACACACCATGTAATTTGACCAGGGTGCCCGAACTTTTGCATTCGACTATAAATGTTGTATGTTTTTTATTCAAATTAATTCCAGGCTTATTAATTAATTGTTATGATGAAACCCTTTACTGTCTATGCTGCAGTTTCCCAGAGTGTGGCGTACTGTCTGTCCGAGGAAGCTTTCTAAGCTGTTTCAAACAGCTTAGGTGCTTACAAGTTTACAACTTAAGTAAAAATACTACTTCATGGTTTTTTCAGTCATCTATAGCTGCATTATACAGCTCCTCCACAACGATGACAGAAAACGACAAGTCGTTTTATTTTTTTAGACGTTAAGCCTGCGGACGTGGATCTGGAGCTCATTCCCTCACTCACACACCTGCAGCAATCTGCAGTTTCTCCATAAGGTGGCACAATTATGCATGCTTGCTACTTTATGTGAAGAAACTGCCATGAACCATGTATGTGTTTGCAGTCACAACTTTAAAAAGGTTGAGGAGAGAGGTGAAATAATTTACCATAATGTTGAGTTACTCAATATTTTATTGTTTGACATGTGATTTTTATTATATTCAGTTAATGTTAAAAAACATATAAGGATAGCACAGAAAGCAGGACTCAGATACGAAGGACTGGGGTAGGAGCTAACAAGCTAATTATTTTAGATAGAGTCCAGGATTAGGTTTGATTCACCTCATTCACACAGCGGACACTTCGCTTTTAATATCCCACAGAGGGTGGATCAGGGAACTAAGTTTGGGCAAGTGGAGCAAACGTTTGATGTGTCCCCCATTTGAAGTTCTGAAAGCACTAAAAATGTCATAAGTCTGTAAAGATACCTCAGTAAAGATATACAGCAACTCAAGGCTGAAGGTCACATCCACAGTGTTAAAGGTAACACTGGAAACACTGTAGTTAGATTAAGTGACCCTTATTAGTCCCACAATGGGGAAATTTCACCTCTGCAATTTAACCCATTCATGCAGTGAAACACCACAGACACACTAGGGGGCAGTGAGCACACTTGCCCGGAGCGGTGGGCAGCCCTATCCACAGCGCCTGGGGAGCTGTTGGGAGTTAGGTGTCTTGCTCAAGGGCACCTCAGTCACAGACCGTCAGCTCAGAGGATCGAACCGGCGACCTTCTGGTCACAAGTCTGGTTCTCTAACCTCTAATGACAGCTAATGTTGGTACAAAAGACATCAGATAAGAAATCAATTTCTTGGCTTAAAATGTTGTTAAAATGTAATACTTGCCATGTTAGTTGCTTTCAGAAGGGCAAATTATCTTGCAACGTCAAATGTACCATTAAATACAACCACAATCAGGTGACAAACACCACCTAGCTACGCTGGCTGGCTAAGTTCGTTTCCAGATATTATGCTCACACTGTGAACCATATCTGCTAGAAATTTGGGCCATAATGTCAAAACTTTGCCAAAACCTGCTGAAAAAACCACCCTATCTGTAATGCTAACTTCTACTAGCATTCTTATAAGATTCTAGTAACTGGTTAGCGATAAGCCAACTGCAATTTGCATGATAACTCGTCATGAGGCTGAAGCTTCATATTTGAACTTTCCATTCGCAGTGCATTTATGCTGCATCGATTGGTGGGATGGAAAATTCAAAAGGCCGCTTTAGATTAAACACAGACCTTCCATGTCTTACTTGAAGCTTGTGACAGATATATTAGCACATATTTCACCATGTAGCAGATTCAAAGTGACTCTTTCAGTAGTGAGCTCTGGAATAGAGCTGCTGCTGCTGCTGCTGCTATTTTCCATTTCTAACAACTCGCTGCCATTTGTGTTCAGACAGTGATGTATCTAGGACTTCCAGAAGGCCTTGAGTGACACTTTTTCTCACAAATTTTGTCCCATACAATGGAAATCAAAACATATCAAACTGATCATGTCTTTTTGGAAAAAGAGGTTAATTTTAACATCAACACTGCAAGCCTGATCTACGGTTCTGTTATCAGTGTTAACTGGCAGTAACACTAACACTAGCAAGCACACAGTAAACAACATCTTAGTTTAACTACAGTATTTTAAGTGCCTGAGGTCCTATTTCAACATTCCTTTGAGATATCTTTAAAGACCCATTTGCCCATTTTTTGATTTTTCAAAACTCAGGCAGAAGAAAACAACCCTTTCTGCTCCACTTTCACAGCTGCTGACTGACCAAAGCTGCTTTCACACTGAAATTGACCACTGTACTTTCAAAAACACATTATTTCCAATCAGATGTGCAGTGCAGATTATGAATTTTCATGCGGTGAGCTCAGCTGTGCAGCATCATCTAAAAAGTTAATGTGTTCAATTGTTCAAAATGCTCTACAAGCAAAACATTAGAGCCATCGAGGGGTTTATTTGGTAGCTACACGGATGAACTCATCTAAAGGGATGAACTTGTATCAGTATATAAACAGAAGGATTCATGGCCTATCACTAAATAAATAAATAAATAAATAAATGAATAAATAAATAAATAAATAAATAAATAAATAAATAAAATCTTTAGTGTGGAACCAGGCGACAGGTGTGCCCATGCCTCCCTTCCAAGTTGGCGGTAACAGCTTCTAAGCTACTCAGGAAGAGGCAGTTAAGAAAAGAAGACATACATTTTTGGTATTTTCAGTTGCCATTTGATCTTCAGCGGTTCAGCTCCAGCTAAACGTCACTGTCTGATGAAGGACTTACTTCCAACAAGGTTTGCAAGTGATGAATCGAGGTCATCGCCGATGGCTTTTGGTGGCGGGGCTGCAGTGGGCACCATGGCGGGCATCATGGTGGGCATCATGGTGGGCACTGCAGCTGGCACTACTGCTGGAGCCGCTGGAACCCCTGCTGCAGCCATGGGGGTCCCGCCGGTACTCTGGGGTGTTATAGTGGGCATGAGGAGGTCACCTAACCCATCGAACACTGCAGAAACATGAATACAGGTCAGATTAGCTGTCATCTCAGCTGAGTCTCCAGTAGCTCTGTGGTAATAATAAACTAAACCGCCATGTTTGATTCGTCCACTTACTGTTTCCAGCGGTTTTACACTAAAAAGCCACAGATTTCTGCACCGCATATGCACTGGGCCAAACCACAGGCACTGCTTTAAACACGGGTCAGTCTGTGTGAAATCACTAAATTCCTAACTGACCGTGTCACCATTTGCTTAATACTTTCAGGAAACGCTGTTCTGCCTAAATGACAGACGCTAAAATTTTAGGCTTGTATTTTCGTTTGTCTGAGATAGATGGATGGTAAATGCAGGACCTCTGCCATCTGCTGGTTTCTGAATCGCCACTCATCACACCACAGGGACATTTTTGATAAATTCAAAATCACTTAAAGCTGGAACTGCTGAAACTGTCACTCTGCGACCATACAAGCCCAGCAGTTATGAAGACAATGTAATTGCAGAATCAGTTCCAGTGAAGGGTGATGTTGATGCTGCAGCACAAAGACATTTTAAACAGTTATACACTTCCAGCTTTGTGTCAGCAGTTTGGGGAAGAGCCTTTCCTGTTCCAGCATGACTGAGCCCCTGAGCACAAAGCAGCTCCATAAAGACACGGAGTGACCAGTTTGGTGTGGAGGAACTCCAGTGGCCCTCACAGAGCCCTGACCTCAACCCCACTGAACACCTTTGGGATGGACTAGAACAGAGATTGAGAGCCAGACCCTCTCGTCCAGCATCAGTGTCATTCATCTTCTGGATGAATGGGCACAAATTCACATAGACACTCCAACATCTTGTGGAAAGATAGGCAACAACTACTAGTTACTAGTTAGCACTTAACTTGAAAACTAGACGTTTTCTTTTAAGCAACATCTAATTTGCCATATAAATTTGATAAAAAGGAAGACCAGCAATATATGGCCTTAATGTTATAGTTATAGTTTTTGCCTGTCATGCATTGAGAATTAGTAGTTCTAAAGGTTTGCACCCTTTACACAGCTTTCTAAGGCAGAAATGAAAACCTTTATATCTCAGAAACTAATAAAAAAGGACACATATTATTTTCTGTAAAGTATTAAGCAAATCTGAGAGAGAACTTTCCAAAACCCAGGTATCTGAGGCAGATTTCCACACCAGCTGGAAATACAAATCACACAGCTGGCCCAACTCTCAACTCTGTAACAACTGCGGGGTGAAATGTGTCAAAACCGTTATGAAAAAGGGAACATTTAGAGGGACACCACCATTTAGACTTCCACACCAGTGTTTTCCAGCTCAGCCCTCAGGAACTCACAGCCGCTCCACAGTTTCAGTCTGTTTCAGCTGTAACAAAATCACCTGACTGCCTGTTCCAGATGTTGAGAACCTGAACAGAATGTAAATGTGGACTAGCTGTGGGTTCTTGAGGGACAGACCTGGTCAACACTGTTCTGGGTGGGCACATTCATAAGAACCGACATAGAACACATGATAAACCATGATCTAACAGACACATTAAAGGCAGAGCATGCACAGAAATCCTGGTAACTGAGAAACACACACATCACATGCTGTATTTTCAGCACTGATTATGCTGAGGTGGCAAGCGCAGGTCCAGGAAGGGCCTGTCGAGAGTCCAGTGCTCTGCTCACAAATCTATTATACTGTATTTACTCTTGTGAGGCTGAACAAGGTTTACAAACTGCTGGTAAAAATCCCACGAGAGACTGAAAAAACCTGCAGTAAAGGAAAAGACCAAACAAAGACCACCCTGGTTCTATATATAACCATAAACACTCAAAGAACCCTCTGCATGATTAAATGGTTCTCTGCATCATGAAATAGTTCCTCACATTGATGGATAGTTTGTTTTATACGGTTCTATATAGAACCTTTCTGAAAAGGGTTCTGTATAGATACCCAAAAGGGATCTTCTACTGTTATAATGTCAAGCTTGTTACATTAGCAAAACCTTTTTGGTGCTATATAGAACCCTTTTCAAAAAGGTTCTATATAGAACCATCTACAGCACATTCTCCATCAATCTGAAGAACAGTTTCACCATGCAGAGAACCAGTTAATCACACAAAGGGTTTTCTGAGTGCTCATGGTCCTATATAGAACCGTTTTCTTTTATAAAGAACCCATGAAGAACCATAATTTTGAGCAGCACAGACCTCTGAGGCCACGGCAACATACTGTCCAACATACTGTCTGCGAGGTAAAATCCTAGTTATCTAGCATTGCTAAAACATCTGGATCTGCTTAAGCCTTGAGGTCACTACACGACTTTTAAAGGTAGTTTTCATTGGCTGTTTCAGGAATCTGGTCAGATTGAGTCGTTGGTCAGTTTACACTAGATTTCACTCAGAGTCCGGTCGAAAAAATCAAACGTCTGATAAACCCTGACTAGTCTGAAATGAGATCGGGAGGCAATAAATCTGAGTCTGCCCCCCTCAAACACGACTCGACTCTCTCTCCAACTGTCGACTCCGACTGACCCAACAATCTGCAGACTAGAGCCGACCAGCTCAGACTCAGACTGACTGACAATCGGGGCTAAAATCGGGGTAAAGGTCGCAGTGTAACCCCGGCTTTAGGCTGTCAAACAGATACTGAATCCATAAAACCTTGATCATCTGACAGAGTAAGAGAGAGAGAGACAGAGAGAGTAAGAGAGAGAGAGAGAGAGAGAGAGTAAACACACTATAAATGAAGGTATTTTGACAAAAAGAGCTGCATGATTCAGTTTCTCATCAGGTTCAGCGGGATTTTTTCCAGAGTTCTGTGAAGCTTGTCTAACTTTGTAACAGTAGGTATGAAAGAACACGTTTGTGGGCGGAGCATCGACAGGTCAGTCAGGTGTTAAGATGAATCGGGTGGTCTGATCACAGGACATCACACTTCAGATCACCTAACGCTCAGCACTACAGGAGTAGAAGTGTTTGATAATCAACATTTACAGTGTTAGTGATAGTGATTACTGATTGAGGATGTTTGAAGGTTAATGAATCTCCTTCAACCTAAAGTCCAGATCTGTCCACTCCTGCAGCTGGAAGGTAACGACCTCATGACTGAGATGGACAATAAACTCCATTTCAGAGACAAATAAGAAACACTGGGAAATAAACCGAGTCACTGAGACTTTTAGGAGAACAGCAGTCAGTCAGAAACCATGTGTGACAGGCAGGACAGCACTGGGTAAAGGACAGGAGCATTCCCAGCATTCCATTCACCAAAAACGCTCATGCTGCAAAGCCCTGCGACAGACAGAAGCTTGGAAACTCACCAAGAAGGAGCAAATCAGTGAGTCAGCAGAGTGAAGCAGAGAGACAGACAGAGAGAGAGAGACAGAGAGAGAGATAGACAGAGAGAGAGAGAGAGAGAGAGAGAGAGAGAGAGAGAGGGAGAGCACAAAGGAAAGAAAGAAAGAAAGAAAGAAAGAAAGAAAGAAAGAAAGAAAGAAAGAAAGAAGGAGCATACACAACAGAAAGAAAAAAGGAACAAAACAGAACACAAAGAAACAAAGAGAGAGAGACAGACAGACAGAGAGAGAGCAAAAAGATAAACAGAAATAAAGATACAGAAAAACAGAGAGATAGATAGATAGAGAGAGAGCAAGAAAAAATGTGCAAGAGAACACACATATGAAAAAAAAGAAATGGAGAAATGAAAGAAGAGAGGAAGAGGGAGAGATGTAGAGGGTATTAAAGGAGAGAGAGAAAGAGAAAGAGAGAGAGAGAAAGAGGGCAAGAAGAGAGAGGGAGAGAGAGAGAGAGAGAGAGAGAGAGAGAGAGAGAGAGAGAGAGACAGGGAGAGAGAGGAGCAGCGTGTAAAGAGCGCCAGCCTGTCAGTGTTATTATGTAAGAGAAGCAGTGGACGCAGCAGCGGTCATGCAGGAATCAAAAGCTTAGTATCAGCGCTGCCACACAGCCGGACCATTTACTGTCCCCGCCGCCCAGCTGACCCTCACTTTTATCATTATTATTATTTAATTAACACTGTCTCCCACCCACAGACGGATAACGTGGCCCCACCTGACGGGTCAAATCCTCCAGAGGGCGTTGTGGATGCCGGTGCACTGTCCACCGCTGTGGAGGCAGCAGGGCTGGAGGCGAAAGCGTCAAAGGCGGACTCCAGCAGGTCAGCCTGGGCTCCGGACGGCACCGCCGCTGCAGAGGCCACCGGGGGGACGGTAGGAGCCACTGGAGAAATCAGACCTGAGGACAGACATCAGGACCAGCATCGGTCATTTCAGAGAGAGACTGTATTTCACACTTTCTGTCTCTCTTATAAATGAAAGCTGGTAGATGTGAGTAAACAAACTAAGAATTATTATTTACCTTCCTGATTAATAGAAAAAAGAATAATAAACTATTCTAATTTTAAAAAGACACGAACAACAAACAAATAAATTAATACACTTAATTATTTATGAGGATTATGTATCTCAATAGTAATAATTATTATTATGGATCTTTTACACAGTCACTGTGTCGTCACATCCGGCTGTAAACAGTGGGGTAATTGGACCTCCGCCTGCAGCGTCTAACAGAGCGGCGATGGAGCGTCACCAGTACGGTGTACATTTTAGAACATCCTCTGACCTCAGCGTCAGTACTCGGGCCTCAGCCCCCACTCCTCAGACTGAACTACTCGGAAACCCATCGTCAATGTCTCAGATATGGCGCAATTCAACATCAGACCACATGTCCTTGGACCAAACAGCCTGGGTCACTAAAAGTAACGACGCCACACAGCTGACCGCAGCTGACGATGCAGCCTCTCGTCTGATAGACTGTTGGTAGTGGTCTGTGGCGCTGTGGAGAGAAATGAACCATATCTGATTTTATTTACCCTAAAAACACTTTGCAAATGTTACACTGGCATTGATATCCAGAATACACAACAGTTTACCGGTAACTGCTCGACCAGGCTTGTGTTTGGCCTGAGACCTTTTTTCTGAGGACGTTTAGTCTGATGTTCAGTTACTCCAGATCTGAGACATGACGATGGTTTTCCCCGAGACTCAAAGTGGTTTAGTCTGAGGAATGATGGCGTTCTGTCTGATGCCCGAGTGCTGACGCTGAGGTCTGACGCTAAAACGTACACCGTACGCCAGTTTTTAGCCTCCCTCAAAAACCTTCCTTCAGCCTCAGTGCGGCTAACAGGAGAGCAGTTGGAGTGTCTGAAGCTCCTCCAACATGGACAGAAAGGCTAGTTAATCAAACCTCTGTGATGACCATCTCCAGGACTGTACATACACCAGTGAACAAAGGTTTCTGAGCTGAGGAGCATTTTTAATCTCATTTTAATCCTGTTGTTTAGCCCACATTCGCTCTCCAGTTCAGGTTTACCTCTTTTTCTGATCCGTTACCTCGTTAAAAGTGACACATGACGAAGGGAGCTTTCCAGCTGAAGCTGAACATTTTTAAACTCGACAGAGTGGAAACTCAGGTGAGGCTGTTTGGTTTAATTATTGGTGCATTTAGGAACTCAGCACTGATTCCAGGCAGCATCAGCCACTGTTTAAAGCACAAACCATTATTTGCTCTTCCACATTAACGAACAGGGAAGCGTGAAAATGGTCTATTATTGTTATTTCACAGAAATTAACACAATAGGCCCTTTTCACATTTCTGCATTTTTTCTGCTGGAGGTTCTCGTTATAGGGTGACGCTGCTTCCACTAAAGCAACAACAATAACAGTGATGATGAACAGAGCCTGTACAGCTCACTCAACTGTTCAAGTTTGAAACAAAAACAGCCTCATCTCAGTTTCAGTGGTTTGTCAGCTGATGATGATCAGAGGAGAAATGAGTCTGTGTGATTAATAAGGGAATAAACTTTGTTGTACAGAGTAAAAGAACCTCTGTGTCAGCATTTTAGCGCTGCTGACTAACGTTAACATTTATATACAGTTTGTGAAGTTTTTCCACAAAGCATTTAAACTCTTTATTTAGTCTGGACTCCCACATTGTTGTGGGTTTGGCTCTCATCCTCGAATTTCAGTCTTGGTAACCGGAGCTGAAGCGATACTAACGCCTGTATTTCGGAGGTTAGTAAGTGTCCGTAAGGCAGTAGAGGAACTTGTTTCACCCAGCGTTTACACACTTCCAGGCCTATTGAGTTGCATGTGTCTTTCATGTGTGCTGAACAGGATCCTGTCAGTGTGTTTTACTGTGGTCAGTGGTTTGGAGAGCAGTGATAAATGATCCACTCGTATCTCTAAGTGAGGCGCTCTCACTCCTACACAGCCTCTCTCAGACACAGAGGTGAGTGTGTGGGCAGTGTCTGTACCTCCGAGCAGATCTCCAGCAGCCGCTGAGCTCTGAGGCTCTGCTGCAGCCTCCCCGAAAGTGTCTGAGCAACATCAGCAACATCAGCATCCGCAGCGTGAAGCCGGAGAGAGGGGTAATTAGCATCAACACTGAATGAGGGCCAGACGGAGAGAGTGAGACACGACTGTACCACACACACACACACACACTAACACACACACACACACACACACTCACACACACACACACACACACACACACACACACACACACACACACACACACACACACACACACTCACACACACACATTCACACTCACAAACACACACACACACTCACTCACACACACACACTCACACACACACTCACACACACACACTAACACACACACACACACACACACACATACACTCACACACACTCACACACACACACTCACACGCACACTCACACACTCACTCACACACACACACTCACACACTCACTCACACACACACACTCACACACACACTCACACACACACACACTCACACTCACACTCACACTCACACACTCACTCACACACACACACACTCACACACACACTCACACACACACACACACACTCACACTCACACTCACACACACACACCCACACTCACACTCACACTCACACTCACACTCACACACACACACTCACACACACACTCACACACACACACACTCACACTCACACTCACACTCACACACTCACACACACACTCACACACACACTCACACACTCACACTCACACACACACACCCACACTCACACTCACACTCACACTCACACTCACACACACACACTCACACACACACACACCCACACTCACACTCACACTCACACTCACACATACACACACACACACACACACACTCACACACACACATACACACACTCACACAGTGGTTTTTCCACTAGTGTCCTAAGAAATAGCCAAACAAAATCCAATGTAAATGAGGTCATGTATATTAACGACCCACACCAAATGAAGCTCTGAGATGAAAACAAACAAACAGACAAAATCTAAATTCTCAGAAACACAGCTGTGAATTCTGAGGGAACAAATGCTGACAAACAGTAAATTGTTCAGTAAAGATGCTTTGAACTCTAAATCAAGAAACAAAGTGTCTTTACCAGGACATGCTTACTATCAAAAAAAAACATTTGTAAATAAATCAATCAATTAATAAATAAATAAAATACAAACGTCTTGAAATTCAATGTTCAATTGTAGGAATCATATTTTGGCATGTAAGATCTAATTTCCCAATTAAATGATAATAATAATAATAATAATAGTAATAATAAATTCTTCATAATTACAGTAATCATTACATAACATTTGGTATTTTTTATTACAAGAAAAAATGTAATGAACATGCTGAGATTCTAATTACTATGGAAAACTGTTTTAGCCATTTAACCACATAGGATTTGGATGAGTTTCTATAATAATCTCTGATAATCTATAATAGCTCCTGACAGTAATAACTGTGATTTTAATCCAGTATGAATTTGTGTAGTTTTACAGTCTGATAATTAAGTAGTGAATGTTCCTCTGTTATTGTCTGAACCCGGAGCTCCTTCAGGATATCAGTCCTGTTCCAATCTGTCTCATGAAAATGGAATAACATAACCTGCTAACCGACGTAACCGTGCGCCATGTTGTTATTTTACTGAGCGTGTCTGTTGGCATAGCGCTGACGTAAACATCCAGGGATAAATGTGGGAATTTGGTGAACTTACACAGATACCTTATCTCTAATAAAGCAACCAATCAAATCCCTTACGTTACATGGCACAACCTCCTCTGGAAGAACTAATCCAGCTTCAGGTCAGATTATTCACTAATAACCTCGTTAGACACCATGCTATCACAACAGTGGTCACTCTGAAATGTGATCTGTCACACTTTTAAACACTCACCTCCAAAATCACCTGTTCTGATTACACAACACCATTCCTTGTTAGAATGGACAGGTCTCAATAATGACCGTCTATATTTGTCATGTATGAAGTTATAAAATGACATGTTTGAAAAATAAATGCTGTGTTAAATGTTGTCTGGATACAGAAACACAGTCTGCGGTTTGTTCGCATGTGTGTTACGGTGTGTTTGGTTTGCGTGAGGGTCACACACCCAGCAGGTCCAGAACAGGAGCCTCGGGTTTGGGAGGAGAAACCGGAGTTGGAGCAGGAGCAGCGGCCAAAGACGGAGCCGGAGCAATGAAGGAGTCTGAAAGAGAGAGAGAGAGAGAGAGAGAGAGAGAGAGAGAGAGAGAGTGAGACAGAGAGAGAGAGAGAGAGAGAGAGAGAGAGAGATAAGAGTACGTAGTGTACTGGACTGAATTATAATTATAAATATTTCTGTATTTATTTACACCTCAGCTATTTTTCCGCACACAGCAGTAAATGATCGAGCTGGCCAAACATTCCTTTTCCATTTTGTTTCACTCAAATCATCATATGTCTGGTTTCAGTCTGGTATTCAGCTGCTCTAAAGAAAGTGCTGGGTGAAAAAGCTCATTTTCACAGCTACCTTTTACCTAAAATTTCTGTCAGTCAGCCAGGATGTTTCTGGTGTCTGAAGTTTGCTTCTTTAGAAGAGATGGCACTTTTGGTTTTCCGATACCGATACCCACACCCCAGACCAGCGGTCACGACCCAAATGTTGAGAAGAGCCATTTTGTCTTTTCAATAAAAATCAATCCACCTTGGGAGCCACAACATTTCATGTCCATTTTACCATCCTGTCTGTAAATATGTCTCAGTATGTGTTAATGTGCTAGTATAGGCTAAAACATAACAAACACAGACTCACTTTGCTCTGCTTTAAGCTTTAGCTAAATCTCTGCTAGCTCTCTTGTTGGCTGTCATCATCTCACACTACTACAAGACTCAAGAACGTTTGAAATCGTAAAACTAAAACATGTTTCAAAACACTGGAAGGCCTCTGATCAGTCCACAGCTAGTTTGGAAGGCTAATGACTGCTTGGATAGGAAGGCAAAAATTGCTTTCCCAGCTGCTTCCGACTGAGCTCCTGACCTGGAAAATTGCTTCAGACTGTTGAATTGGTTGAAAAGAGAAAATAAGGATTAAAATCAGGCTAAATCATGCAGTGTAGGCCTAACTTTAAGGGGTTTAGGATAAAGAATCCAGAAATCAGTGACCATTACACTGTTAGAAATAAAGGTTCTGTACAGGTACTTTTTTCATTGAGGTACAAACAGTGTAAATGTTCCCTCAAAGCTCCAACAGTGGTTTAAAGGTCTGATTGAGAACCTTAAATAAGTGTTTCCAGGTGAAAAGTTCGTATTTGTACCTTTTCATAACCGAATGTTTTAAACAGAACAGTAAAATAAAAGCCTGGAGACGAGACGGGGTGTGTGGAGTCAGTACAGCTTAGAACATATCATTTCAGTGGATTATGGTTCAGTTATGTTCCCTGGCTAAAGGTACTGAGATGTACCCTTGAGGGTTCCACTCCAGTGACTGTTTAGTATCTTTATCTTAAAAAGATATTTTTTCCTTCACGGCAGCATCATCAAGCCTGAATTCTGTCCTTCTATGAAACGGCATCAGCTACTACCTTCCTTTAACCTTTTACACCAAGCATTATTGTTTCTCACTGTAATGAACAGCAGCTGCCAGTGCTGAGGGTCATCAGATAAGATGGTACACCAATGAGCACGGTCACTATGGAGAGACTGTAAGAAGCCAAATCAATGGCCTGAACGTTCAGGATGGCTATAAAACTGCAGGGAGTGAAATGAGTTGTGAGAAGCTCCGCAGTGTCGAGAGAAAAGGCTGTGGAGATGCACTTACCTGACAGAAGGTCACCGGTGACTGTGGCCTCAGGCAGGGGCGACGGCCCTCGAGAGACAGCGGGAAGATCTTCATTACAGCAGTGGATGAATACGAGGAGGTTTTTGGAGGAACATAAAGAGTGACAGGAGTCAGGAAAGCATGTTAGCACAGTGAGAATATACAGACAGGCAGTCATGCTTACGTAGACGAGAACATGCACAAGTCCGAGTTTCACTATGAGGACAAACCAAGACGTGGTGGGGCAAAAGAACAGATGCTGGAGTGAGGAAGACGACAGGACGATAGGAGACGAGACGCTGTTGGACCGTAGTAAAAGATCTAGCCCTTCAGGATTCTGTCAGCTATAAATCTCTGGAGCAAAACTGTAAATCTGCAAGCAGTGCTGCTTTAGCTCGTCTTGATTTGTGGACTGAGGTGGTTTCTTTCTCTATGAAATCTGCCGCTGTTACATTTCAGGGCTTTTCAAAGGTTGATCACTCAGAGGATCTCTCTCTCTCTCTCTCTCTCTCTCTCTCTCTCTCTCTCTCTTTCTCTTTCTCTTTCTCTCTCTCTCTCTCTCTCTCTCTCTCTCTCTCTCTCTCTCTCTCTCTTTCTCTCTCTCTCTCTCTCTCTCCACTGTGCTTATCTTCACTAACAATAACATAATGACCTTGAGGCTTCATCATTATTTCATTAGCATCAGTAATGTAGACTGGTCAGTAATGTAGATCGGTCAGTGATGTAGATCGGTCAGTAATGTAGATGGTCCTATAGATTTGAAAGGTACAGTAAAGATATTCTTTTCTGTCATACACTCTTAAAAAGAGTTTTTGAGTTTAAAAATGTTCTATACAGAACCGTAACAACTTAAAGAACCCTTTGCATGATTAAAGTGATCTTTACATCATGTAACCGTTCTTCAGATTGATGGAGAATGTTCATGAATGTGCTACAGATGGTTCTACGTGGAACATTTTTGAAAAGGTTTCTATAAAACATCCAAAAGGTTTTTCTATTGTTACAAGCTTGACACTGTCACAATAGTAGAACTCTTTTGGATTCCATTTTTGAAAAAGGTTCTACACAGAACCATCTACGGCACATTCTCCATCAGTCTGAAGAACGCTTCCCTTTAACCATGCAAAGGCTTCTTTGAGTGTTCACGGTTCTGTGTAGAACCGATTTCTTGACCACAGAACCCTTGAACTACCATGTTTTAAGAGTGTAGTATGGCATGAGGTCCGCAAGGTTTGGTACCCATTGTGGGACGAGGTTCGGTCCAAGGGTCATCCATAATAACGTTTTGATTAGAGGGAAAAAGGTGCTGGGAGGAAACGAGAGCACCGATCTGTACTCTGAGAACCCGACAGCCCAGCACTCATTTTTCAATCAGATATATGGGAACACAGTGAGTGTGTGGAGAGACGGAGGACTTTCCAACTGGATGAGGCATTAATCCTTTTGCCATGTTATTCATTATTTTTCTCATTTTTATTGCTCTTTCCATTTACACTGTTTCTGGTGCTGGAGGAGTCCTCAAATAAATCTGAATTCCAGTTTATTGTTTTTGGACTTTTGTCTCGATAAGATGGTGTTTTTTGGTGAGCCTGCCAGGAGTGGGGATTGCCAAATTATCCAAATGTTCTGCACCAAATACCAAAATGACTCCAATACATCTGTCCAGCCAGGGAAAACTGGCCAAAGAGGAAGGCCTCGCTTATTTCCCTATTTCCCCGTACCAATCAGGGACCCCATTCAAGAGGCCAAAACACAGACAGAGGCTATTATTACTCAAGCATGTACTGTAAAGGCAGAGCAAACAGAAGGTTATGCACCAGCCTAGAGGACTAACACATACTCCATATTCAGGCCACCATGGTCAAGCACTAACGATGGTCACTACTCTAAACCAGGCTCAGCTAAAACCAGAAATTAGATCACTGTTATTGAAAGTGAAGATGGTGAGGAACATATCATAATAGGGATGATAGGGATATTAATAGGGATATTAACAGGGATATTAACAGGGATATTCGCCACAGGACACTACAAACCTCAATTCCAAATTTGACACTGTGTAAAATGCTAATAAAAACAGAAATCAGTCAGTAGTTAATGACCTATACTCCACTGAAAATAGTTCACTAACACTATATTTGACGTTTTATGTTGTTTATAAACTGATTCCAAATTTGACGCAACATGTTTCCAAAAACACTGGGACAGGATCATGTTTCCTACAGTGTTACATCACCTTTCCTTTTAACAGCTCTTAATAAACGTTTGGGGACTGAAGACAGAAACTGATCCACTTTTGAAAGCGTAATCTTTTGCCATTCTTCCATACGACGCCTTCGCTGTCATACATTGTGCTTCATAATGCACAACACATTTTCAATGGGAGACAGTTCTGATTATATAGTGATGATGTTGCAACATGTGCAGGACGAGGCACCGACATGTTGAAATAAGTTTGGACGTTCCTAAAAAAGACATCATCGAGACGTTCCTCACTGCAGAATGCTGTTCTTTAACTGAGGCATTATTTAACAACCGTCCCAACCTTTTTGAAACATGTGACAGGTATTAACATTAGAATGAGTCCATATTTGCAGATAAACAATGAAGTTGGTGAGTTAAAACACTAAATAGTTTGTGTTTGTATTGTAAGTCAAAGTGGGTTTTCACCTGCTTTCTGCTCTTATCTGCATTTCACATTCTGTCTCAACTTGTTTGAGAAGTTTGTAGATTCCTTAGCAAGTTTAGGGACAATCTATAACTGACAATAACAACCTGCAGATGTAAATTACTGCACCACAGATTTACAGCCAACAGAATCCTGAATTGCTAACGGCAAGCTTGCTTTATCACGGCAGACGCTGGACAGAGGAAGGGGAAACGTCTCCTGTACCTGCACCAAACAGGTCTACGTTAGCAGTGGGTGTAACGGCAGCTTTGGGCTCTGTGGAGGCGCTTTGCTCAGGCACAGAATCAAACATATCTACGAACAAGGACACACATGTGCATTACGCATCAAAACCTGGGCATCATATCCACCATCTGCTTCTGAGAGACACAGACATCCACAGGAGTGAGGCAGACATGTCAATCACACAAGTGCTGAGTGAAAAATATCATCATCAGAACAAACAGTAGATCAAAAGTGCACAAGACAGGAATCATTCAGTAGGTTTTAAAACATTTTTCTCCCAAAAATGCTGACAGTGCTAATAATGGATGAAAGCCAGCAGCGATGCCATCTACATTAGCATTTTTGGGTGAAATAGTCCTTTAATAAAAGGCAAACCCTGGAGAGGAAGCTCTGATAGCTGAAGAATGTATGCTGGCATTGCAAAAGTCCTCTCCCCTGGTTTAACCGAAGAAAGTGCAATTCTACTGACCACACATGAATCAGACGTTGACCACCTGCTCAACATAACTGTTTTTACATCTTGCATAGTTTATATAGCATAGTATATATAAAATATAATATACTAAATTACATAATGAGACGGTAGACAAATATGTGCTTCAGTTTACCAGGTGGTCAAGTTTGTGATTCACCCCAATGCCCAATTTCTCAAAACTAATAATGATAAGAAATAAATCAAAACAAAATAAATGAGTGCAAAATAATAACTGTAATAATGTAGGGGAGCTAAGTACGTTATTCATAATGCAGAGGAATGAGAGACAGAGAGACAGACAGAGAGAGAGAGAGAGAGAGAGAGAGAGAGAGAGAGAGAGAGAGAGAGACAGAGAGAGAGAGAGAGCGAAAGCAAAGTCTTTACCACCAAAGATGTCTAGTGGCGGAGCGGCCGCTGACTCTGTGGCTGTGGTGATGGTGGTGGTTGTGGTGGGGGTTGTGGGTTCAGCGGGGGCTGCAGCGCTGGGGGCAGCGGCAGGGTCACTGGGGACGATGCTCGGCTCTCCGTTAGTTGGGCTTTCTGCCGCAGTGCTGCCCTCTGCTGGCTTCATGGCAAAAAGGTCCAGCTCTGGGGCAACTTCCACACTCCCCTCTGAGGGAGCCCAGGGGTCTTTGGGGTGGGGGGTGGGGAGAGATGGAGGGGAAATGGTGGGGCATTTTTAAACAACAAATGCTGCAAATAAAGAGGCTTATTGAAATCATACAACTTCGGGAGAACCAGAAGTCAGGGAGAGAGAAATGAAACGGTGTTAAAGGGCCCATATTCCCAATTTTCCTTTTGTTTTTGATTTTTATGAACCAAAAACAATCATAATGACCATTTCATCTTTCCTTAGAACCGGCTGTTTTTGTCACTGTGCCTTTAATACTGATATAGATAAATGTCCTACTGCACTGTCTTGAACTGGGCCTCGTTCAAAAAGCAGTCCTGATAAAAATACAGTCTACAGAACGAATTATTCAGACTGTAACTTCAGCCACGCCTTTCAGACGTGTGGGTCTTGTGGAACGCTATAGTGATCCATCTGCTTTCCAAGAGTACAATGTTTAATTCCAACATCTTCAATTAAAACAGCGCTATATATGAATGGGCGGGGCTAAACTGTTTGAGGCTGTATAGGTTGTCCTATGTAAATCTGCTGATGGTTGTGATATCACAATTATGATGAGCTCAAAATGAGCTTTTTTGCAGTTTGCTTCTATATAGACTACACTTCAGGGAGAGAACGGCATATTTTTGAATTTTGTTAAAGTTTTCAAGGTACACTACTGTCTTTTACTTCAAACAAGCAGGGAACAGCCAGATTTCTACGATATGAGCCCTTTAAAGCACAAAAAAGAGTTTCTATGTACAGTTAGTGATGTCTTCAACATTACTACTGTAACTGCAAGAGATAAAAATTGTTATTTGGTGTACATGAAAAAAAGAGAAATGGCCACAAAACTCTAGAAAAATGCTGTGTGTGCTAAAACAGCTCTGTCTATAGTTTCAGTTAGAAATGTCATGTATGCTTGTATCACAGTCACGTACCCTGTAGGTGTTCATCAGAGCGATGAACACAGAGGGCAGTTAACGCTCAGCATAGAATCAGAATGAAGGCTGTGTTCGTGTATCGACTGCGTTCCTAAACCACTGAAGCCTAAAAACTCCTCACGTGGTATTAAACTGGTCTAAAGGTCGTTACACACTCAACGTGACTTTTTTGTGTGATTTCAGCATCAATACATTTCTTCAAACGCATGTTTAACTGCTGATGTCTTGATTTTTCGGACTGTAACAGTATGTTATTCACACTCCAATTTTTGTGGGGATGCACTGACATTTTGTCAATGTTTCAGCCAAAAATGGTCAAAGACATTTTTATTTTTCAGTCAAAAGATAAAAAGATTAAACAGGACAAATGTCCAAATTCTTCTCTGAAAGAATTTTCATGGTGATGAAATTGAAAAATAATGATTAAAACACTGTTTGTTTTCTTCACTTTCCTACACCAGTCTGTACAGACAGGTTCAAACAGTTTGAGCGGCAGCAGATCTTGGTTTCTGTGAGGAACATAAGGGATTTATAATAGAACTAAATAAAACTAATATACTAATAAACTAATAAAACTTATAAAATAAAAATAAGAAAACAGAAAATAACTTTTTCAGGTTCAGTTTTTTTTTGAGGAAGGTGTGTCCTGGATTTTGTCTTCAGCCAGGATTTTTTATTTTGTTGCATCACTAGATATTTGTGAACTTTCCCAGAGACGCCGACTCACTCGACTAGTCACTGTTGTCTCTGGCACTGACAACCAACAGACAACCTCCATCACGCAGTGTTACCAAACTGAGACGGTGAAGGTAGCAGTGGGTGACATACTGGATCATCTATATCAGTTTATTAAGGTATGAGTTTTGTCACAATCTTTATACCGGTATGTCATAAACGAGCGCAGTGTGAGTTCTTCCCTGTCATGTTCAGTGTGTAACGTCCTTAACATTAACACTATTCACTATTCAATCATCAGTCAGAACGAATCGGATTCACTGAAACACAAGTTGAGTTAAAAGTGAAGGGGAACAGAACAAAAGGGGGCTTTTCCTGATGAGTCTTACTATGAGGATAGTAAGAGGAAGCAGCAGGAGGAGCTGGGTGTAGCGTGTTGGGCTCGCGCGAGCATCTTTGACTACTGAAGCCATGTGAGGCAAACAAAAACTGCAGGAGGTGTTTTTATGTAGATGCGAGCTTCGCAATTATATTGTATTACATACACACACATACACACACTCACACAAACACACACTGTAAAAATTACAATTCAGGGCAATTTAAGTCAACCTTATGCACACGTTTTTACTTTTTAACTTTAGTCAGAAGTTCTCCATAAAAAGAAAAACACAACTAATTTTAATACTGCATCTTCAGTTATGTCAACAAAACAGTCAAGCTTATTCAAAAAAAAAACAAAAAAAACCCAGTGTATATTGTTGCCTCCTGAAAATGTTTACATTTTTGCTCAGTTCCTAAATTAGTCATTGCAATGTCCACCCACAACTTCCTCTGTAACACAGAGCCCTCAGCCTGGTTTGGGTGTTAGGGGTGCTGAAGGGCTGTGTCTCTAGGATCTGAACTAATGAGGGTTAAGCAGTAACTTTGAAATGTTTTCAGTAAATTTAGTTCACTGCTGCATCAAAAAATGCAAATTATGACTCAACTACACAAAGCAGAAGCCATATATCAACAACATATAGAAATGCCGCCGACTTCTCTGGGCTAAAGCTCATCTGAGATGGACTGGTGCAAAGACATGCTACGGTCTGAAGAGTTGACCTTATAAGTTGTTTTTGGAAATAATGGATGTGTGCTCTCCTGGCCAAAGAGGAACTGTTGCCAACATAAGGTTTAGAAGCCAGCATTCGTCATGGTATGAGGGTGTGTTGGTGCTAATGGCAAGGGTAACTTGAACATCTGTGAAGATTATTAATGCTGAGATACATACATATTAGAGTAAAGATATGGTGTGGAAAAAGTGTAGCAAGTAAAGGCTCCAAAAATTCTAAGCTGCTTCCTGATCTTAACTGTGTGGGCATGTCAGAGTGCAAAATGATGCATGTAGATTGTGTGAAAAAATCTGATCTACAACCAAATCCAAATTAAACTGTACGTGGTAGAGCTGACTGAACTGTACATTAGGACTGCTGACTGAACTAAACTGAGAAACATTAAAAATCTCTGCAGAGGGTTGACTTAAAATTTCAAGCTGACCTGACTTTAATTTTTTTATAAATTAGTGTAAATATGCACAGTGTACTTTCTGACAGACACAGGGCATCCACACACACTTTCTCTCACACACACACAGACACACACACACACACACACACACACACTTTCTCTCACACACACAGACACACAGACACACACACACACACACACACACACACACACACACACACACACACACACACACACAAAGTACCTACAGTCAAACTACTGTAATTACATTCAAACACACTCATTCATGGACATTAACACACACACACATGTCCCAGTGTGTGCACCCACCAGATCCGGCACATGCATCAGCAGCAACTGCTGGAGCCCCGCCCTCAACTGGCCCGTCGCCCGGGGAGGGGGCAAACGCATCTGCAGCACCACGCAGGCAAAACAAATGAACGAACAAACAAACAAACAAAACCCAGCCAAAGAACAGAGGGGATGAAGAAATGAAAGAGAAAAAGACAGAAGGAGGAAGAGAATCAATGCAGGAAATCAGAGCCTGACAGTAAGCAGAAAAAAAAAATGTTCTATGTAGCCTGAAAGGAGATAAAATTCCTAGAAAATAATAGAAAAAAAACAAACAAACAAACAAAAAAAACAATTTACACTGTTTCCACCCTCAGGTTAAGTATAACTGATCAGCCAAGACATATAAGGTGTCTGACATTTGCTTCTTTAGACTTACACTGGAGCTGTGAGGCTAATGTAATGCTAACTGCATCAATTAACATGTAATTCATAATAACGTAACAATCAGCACTGTACAAAACGCATACCAAACAGACTTGTTCATGTGGATCCCGAAACTGTATGACAAGTTTGGACAAAAGTACTGGCCAAATTCAGGATGTAAGATGGCCACTCATATTGTTTTTTAACTACACAAAGTACTTCTGTCTATTATTACAGACAACAGTACGTCACACAATCAAGATGTCCCGATCCGAGCTGATCCAAGTGAATGTTAATGCGTTAGGTATCAGGTATTTTAAGCCCACTTCTGACACCACTGTAGTCAAGGTGACATAAACTGACATTTTACAGTGAAAAATGAAAATGTCTTACATCTCTAGAGTTAGACCTTCGACAGCATTTAAACTAGCCACATTTCAGCTAAGTATAGGCAAGTAAAATGTAATTGCACAGCTTTTACACGTCCACCACTACTGCACCATTTTTCACTTGCAAATCTTGACGCGTTAAAATGAAACCATTGTGGAACTGTTCTGCTTTACCTGCCATGGTTTAAAATTGTTGCTAGCCGTAACATAGAAAGAAGCATCATCTGTTTGTGCAAAAGAGCATCATAAAATAATAAATGTTTTGTACATAAATAGCCCAGAAAGAACCTAAACATATCAATTATGAGTGTAAATAATTTTCTAACAAAACATAATTATTTGATTTTATTTATTATAATATGGCCAAGCTATGATTTTACATCTTTTATTTATTTATTTATTTCATTTATTATTTTTTGTATTTATCCTTATTTTAACTTATTTATTAAGTTACTATTATATTGTAATTTTAATGGTTTATTGATTTAATTTATTTAAATGTACTATTATGATTATTGTTACTTTTTGGCATTTGTTATGTTTTTACTGTTTAACTTCTCAATCCCTGATCTCTGTATTGGCTCAGCTGCACTGTAAATGAGGGTCTCCCTCAGTGAACTCAGAGTTTAAATAAAGGTTGATTGATTGTAGCATCAGTTGTCATATCTGACCTAAACTGTGTGGTTGTATTGTCTATGAAAACACAGTCAGATTGGGTACAATATAATATCAGACTCGGGGGCAGATTTTGTGATTCTGGGGCCCAAAAGATGGGAATGCACATTATTAATTTACTCACACTGTCTACACAGCAAAAAAAAAAAGAAAAAAAAAATCTTGGCAAGTGAAATCATCTTGAATCTAGTCATTATAATTAATATTCCTCATTTTAGGATTGCTGTAAGAACATAAGATTGTTTACCTTATTTCTAGAATTTTTTACTTTAAGTGAAATGACCTCACTCCATTGGCAGATCATTTTGCTTGTTTTGACCCCTAAACAAGCCATGGACCTGCCGACTGCCCTGAAGTTTTATTACACACTTTTATAACATAAGAATTGCGGCATTAGTTTGCATTGAAGCCCCTGCAGTTACTGAATAATAAGCCTTAGTATGAAATATGAAGTATGAAACAGGGAATGTTAAGCAGTTTGGAAAAATGGTTGACATAAGCAAAGGTATCTGCCAATATATACTGAGATAATCTGGTACAAAGTAAGACAGAAGTAATGAGTACTGACACTACTTTTCCAGGAGGTAATAAGTAACAGAATTCCATTACAGAGAGACGTATTTAGTAACACTGGTGCTGTCTGTACTAACAATAACGCTGGGTTCTGTACGGTCCACTGAGCCTGTGCAGCTTTTAGTTCTGACTGAAAAAAAAAAAAAATGCTATGCTTAGTATTAAGTGCTTAGTTTTTAGGTACTCGGATGGCAAAAAAAAAAACAAAAAACAAAAAAGGAAATAAATAAATAAAAATAAAAAATAAAACTGGATTGGGCCAGGCACGATGCCAACAGGTCAACTTGCTGGGCTTGTTAGGTAATTTGTGTAATTAGCATTAGCCTCATAGCCAAATCCTCGCAAAACCAGCCAGGGGGAAACTGTGTAAATGTGATTTTTCACTCCAGTTTTCTTTTCAGGCTTGCATAGACCTTCGTGTCCCGTGACCACACGTCCAGAGCAGTGACCTGAGCATAGGCTGCTCTGATTGTGTGACACCTGAAAAGCAAAGCTCTGAAACAGACAGGCAGCCTGTCTGTCACCAGCCGGCTAAAGCTATTAGCATGTCTGTGCTTCAGAAAGCACATTCAGCCACCTGTTGATTAAACAGCACAGATTTAATCAACCAGTTGCTGTTTGAAAACGAATGAGGCCACGGAAAATCAATAAATGATTATTAAGTCATTTATCAGAATATGACATTTTTTTGCATATAAACTGCGTCTGATAATAACACAGAAACAGTACCAGTCAAAAGATTGGACCCACCTGACCGAATGTCTGTTTTTAATGGTCTTAAAGATATTTTGATGTAAAGGTTTGAGCTTCAAACGGCTTCAAATTTGTTTCTAAGACAAACAGTGACATCATCACTGTATGACTTTATTTCCAACACAATAATGTACACTCTGTCAGTCATGATGTGATCATGCGTATCTTGTTCAGAGCCTGTTGGAAAAGCATTCCGAGTGTCTCTTTCTGAAGCTGACTGAGAGAATTGGGGCTATTTTGAAGAGTCTAAAGTAAAAGACAGTCAGGGTTTGTTTAGGGTTTGTTTCTGTTATCAAAAGCAAAGAAAAAAAAACAAAACAACCTTATTAGAAAAAGACAATTTTTTATTAAATACATAATTTTTTATTTGTCTTTGTAAAATTTTGAGGGGAAAAAATGAATGTTAGTTTTTTAATCATATTTTATATATTAACAACAGCTGGAAGCTTATGCTACATTCTTGAAAACAATGGTTCCTTCAAGGGTTCTTTAGTAAAGAAATTGCTTATATATAGAACCATGAACACTCAAAGAACTCTTTGCATGATTAAGGGTTCTTTACATCATGAAATGGTTCTTTAGACTGAGTTCTTTGGATTGTAACAATAGTGGAACTCTTGGTGCTACTATCTACAGCACAGTCTCCATCAATCTGAAGAACCTTTTCTCAATGCAAATCATGTAAAGGGTTCTTTGAGTTCCATACTAAAGAACCCTTGAAGAACCATACTTTTAAAGAGTGTATATTTTAGCATGTAATGTACTGGTTTACTGCTACTGTACATATTTGCTGGTACTGTTCTTGTTGTGAGATGTGACTTTTCAGCCATACAGCTACAGATCTGTGTGCTCATTATTTTCATTATTTCACGTACTCGTTTGTTGAAGGCTGCGCTGACAGTGTTGGCTGGTTGTGACAGTCTTTAGTTTGTATTGGACTGTTTATCTCCAGGTTACACCACACTGGATCTGTATAACACTTTCTTTGGTCACTGTCCAATTCCGTCAGTGATATTTCATAGTTTTGATTGTCTTCACTGTTATTCTAAAACGTGGCAAATGGTAAAAATAGAGAAATGCTTCTGGTAGGTCCAAACTTGACTGGTACTCTATACATCAGGAAAACACCAGGTTTATCTTTCCATAACCAAAGCTTCACTACTGCCCGGCCTCCAGCCGTCCAACTGTGCTGTGGGAGCTTCTGTAGTGATTGTATTGAACAGAGCAGATGGTTATCTAGCCTAGCCGAGCCTCTCGTAGCCTAGATTAGATTAGCTTAGCTTAGTTTAGAGTAGCCAGCCTCCAGGGAGAGGTTGACTGACCTCCGAATAGGTCCATGTCTGAGATGGATGTGGTTGGGGCAGGTGTGGGAAGCGAGGCTGGGGCTGCTGGAGCAGCAGCGCTAGCGTTAGCATTAGCCGCAGGTTCGGCTGCAGCCGCGGCGCCTGTTTCAGCAGAATCAGCTGGAGCAGCAGCAGCGGAGTCAGAGTCAGACAGCAGAGCTGCAGCAGGAGATGAGAGAGAGTCTGGAGAGAAGAGAAGAGAAGAGAAGAGAAGAGAAGAGAAGATAAGAGAAGAGCAGAGAAAGAGAAAAGAGAAAAGAGAGGAGGACAAGTGAGAAGAGAAAAGAAAAATGAAAGAAAAAAAAGAAAAACGAAAATAAGGAGAACAGAATGGAAAAGAAAAAAGGAAAAAGACAAGAGAATAGAAAGTGAAGAGAACAGAGAGGGAGAGAACAAAGGAGAAGAGAAGAAAAAGAGAAGAGATCAAAGATTAAGTTTGGAAAGACACAGATAAGCAGTAGAAAATCAGACGACAGTTTATGAAGAAACTATTTTCACATCATGCTAAAACAAACCTTCTTAAGCACAAAGGCTGAGTAGAAGAGAAGAGTTGATGGATCAGTTCTCCTCTTAAATTCTTTGGCCCTTTGAGTGGGACATTAACCCTCTGGGGTCAACAAATGCAGACTTCAAAAAAAAAAAACTGGACTTCAGTTTTCAGCTTTAGGGCTGAATTATCTCTGTACACAGAGCTCCAGTCCAAAAGGGCCTCACTATAAAGAGAGCTGAGATTGTTCTGAACATTCTGATATATAACATGTGGGTATCATGTCGAATGTAAGAATTTAAAAATATATGCAAAAATTAAGAAAATGCCCCCAGAAGGTTAAGACCTCCTGATTACAGTACACTGTCCATTTAATTAGAAACTCCTCCCATGTAGCTTCACCTTGCTGGTGTACAGTTAGAGACTGTAGCCCCTCTGCTGATGGACAATTTGTGCCAGTCGTCCTTTAGCAGTGGTCCTCTGGTGGTCTCTTTCTACTGATTTATGGGGAAGAGGGGGATGATATACTGTGTCAGATGGGCTACGTCAGTAACTGTGAAAGTGCACCACAGCAGGTGTTTCTGAGAAACGGACAGTGGGTGCAGGTATAAAGTAGGTCAATGTAATAAACAGCACATTCAGTCTCTTTGCGAGTGTCGCTGAATTAAAACCACATTTACTGAAAGCCCGACTCACCCTCACCCAGAAGATCTGAGACACAGCAGAAAGGAGGCCAGACAGAGGGACGAGAGGAGGAGCGAGCAGGCATGGAGAGAAACAGAAAAGAGTGTCTGACAAAAATATGCACACGCTTGCACTCATTCTGTCTTAGAGAACCCTCACGAGTGAATGTGATCCTGCATTAGAACTCAGAGCCTGTAGGTTCTGTCACTGCTTTAAGCTCAGGGTGGAAGATCAGTGGCAGACGGTGTTATTAGTGCAGCAGCTGAACTGAGACGCCACTAACAGCCTGAGAGAGGTGTGTGTGTGTGTGTGTGTGTGTGTGTGTGTGTGTGTGTGTGTGTTTGTGTGTTTGTGTATATACGCTATGAGAGTGTTAGTGTTAGAGAGAGAAGGGGAAATTAGAAATTAGTAATAATTATAAAAAAATATCATTACCTTATTATAACTACATTATTATGATTAATCAATTATTATTACATTAAATGAATATAACAGACACAACTGTAGAAGAATTCCATATAAAAAGGGTTAGAAAGGCTGGTAGTACAGAGCTTAACTCTCCACAAGATGTAGAGAGAGAAAGAAAAGAAATGTGAGACAGAGAAACAGGGAGGAGGAGAGAAAGAGCAAAGGCAAAGAGAGAGAGAGAGAGAGAGAGAGAGAGAGAGAGAGAGAGAGAGAGAGAGAGAGAGAGAGAGAGACAGAGAGAGAGAGAGACAGAGAGAGAGAGAGACAGAGAGATCGTAATTGTACCTCCCCATGATGCTGTGGGAGCTGCTGAGGCACCGGCACTGGGAGCCAGCAAATCAAAATCCACCAGATCATTAAATCCACTGCTGCAGAGAGAGAGAGACAGACAGAGAGAGAGAAAGACAGAGAGAGAGAGAGAGAGAGAGAGAGAGAGAGAGAGAGAGAGAGAGAGAGAAGACAGAGAGAGAGAGAGAAAGACAGAGAGAGAGAGAGAGAGAGAGAGAGAGAGAGAGAGAGAGAGAGAGAGAGAGAATACCATTATAAACCCCTATATAAATCATTTTTCTGTGAAATTATGAGCAAGAAAAACAAAGAATAAAGAAAGAAGGAAAGAAAGATGGGGTGAGGAGTGTGGACACATCACAGATCAGCAGGTACAGAGAGATGGATGAGGCTGTGATGTCTAAATGGTGGCAGAGTGCAGTGATAGAGGAATGCAGTGTTGGAATGATGGAGGAATGCAGTGTTGGAGTGATGGAGGAGTGCAGTGATGGAGTGATGGTGGAGTGAAGTGATAGAGGAGTGCAGTGTTGGAGTGATGGAGGAGTGCAGTGATGGGGAGTGCAGTGATGGAGTGATGGAGAAGTGCAGTGATGAGGAGTGCAGTGATGGAGTGATGGAGAAGTACAGTGATGAGTAGTGCAGTGATGGAGTGCAGTGATGGAGTGATGGAGGAGTGCAGTGATGCAGTGCAGTGATGGAGGAGTGCAGTGATGGAGTGATGGAAGAGTGCAGTGATAGAGTGCAGTGATGGAGTGCAGTGATGGAGTGCAGGCTCACTTTGCTGCTGCTGCTGCTGCTGCTGCTGCTGCTTTCGGCTCGGCTGCAGGCAGCTGAGGGGCAGCAGCTGCTGCGCTGACCGGTACAGGAATGGCCTCTGCTGTCTTTACTGGAGTCCCAGCAGGCGTCCCATTACTGGCTGCTGACACTTTCTATAGACAAACACACACACATACAGGGGCTTTACACAGCAGGCAGTGATCCACTGATTATTATTTTTTTGATTATATAAATTTCCGATGAGGCCTAGATTTTAGTATCAGGGCAAACTGATACTGCTTTATAAACATCAGTATACATTAATAAAAATATTTATTACATTTAGTTATAAGCTCATTATGATAACTATACAATTACATATACTTTTAATTAATATCTGTATTATTTGATCATATAATTTTATTACAATTAGTATTCTAATATCACATTTAATAATGACCGCTGTTCCAAACTATAAAATCCAAATCTTAGAAATTCAGATTTATTCCCACTGATGTCTCTTTATGTTTTACCTAAGAAGACTACAACTTCCACAATGCAATGCGGTAGCCAGCTAATCCTGTGCGTTTACCTATGAGCTTGCAGAAACTGGAAAAAGAGCAGTGAGAGTCTGTTCTGATAATGACAAATACAGAGGTTTTTACTGTGTCTGAGTGCAAAATTACAAAAACAGACACATCCAGATGAAACAACACCAGGAATTAAATATGAATGTATGCCACTGTGGTTCTGTAACCACTAATTTCACCTATATATATTATATATATATATATATATGTATATGCATCCAGAAGTTGCATGTATGATATGTGGAATTTATATAGCCAGCCACATTACTTTTACCTTCACGGCATATGTATGTTTTATGCTATATATGTTACTTGCAAATTTAGGGTGGACTGTCACTGTTCTTTGGGTGCAAAGAAGGTAACTCCTCATGTTTTGCAGAGGTCTAATCTCTCGTTTTCTTCTACTGAGGCCTGGCCAGCTGACAGGAGCTACACTGAATCACTGTTCAGGGGATTTGAGGTTTCAGACCAGCTCTTTCTCGAAGAGCTCAGGTGTGAGAAGACTTGTTGAGCTTCCTTCCTTGTAATTAATTTTGCATATATGTTAACACTTTCATGTTTATTCATATCTCAATTAGGTGTAACCAATGAATCGTAACTTCTTTGTTCTCTATTAACCAGTGAATGTAACAACACCCCACTTGGGGAATATACGACCTTCATAACTTTGGTCTGACTTTCGGAGATCTCAGGGTATACGCCAGGAGCTTCTCCCCAGCTGAGAGTTTTCAATAAATATATTACTTTGGGGCATTAATTATGACTCTGAGATTTTACTGTTTTCTAATTTACCTCACCAGCAGTTTCTTGACATAATCTGACCTGAGCACTGCTTTTCTGCCAGCTGCTGCAGCTACACAGCTAACTTTGCCAGTAGAAAGACATTTTTTCCTTGTTATTTCGGTATATGATTATCTCAGTCTATGCACTAAACACTCAAAAACAGTCTGCATTCCACGTATGAGTAAAGGTTCCATGAGGTGATTGCTCTTCTGTCTTTGTTGAAGGTTTTAGCTCTGATTTCTGACTCCTTGCATGTTTAATAAGATTTCTGAATGGACCCAGATACTGTCCTTCAGGAATTGGGCAACATCCATGTTGGTTTGTTTGCAATCTGTGTGTCTATAAGCCTTCCTGATAGATTATTAGGCATTTTTCGAAAATCTTAGCCCTAGGTGAACAACAGCTGCCCCCCAACACACTAAATTAAACCACTCTCACTCTTGATTACACCACCAAGAGACAAATTCTGACCACAGAAACGGTTATTTCATGACCCACAGGTGCATTAAAATCATCCTTTTTAGGTAGAAATGTTCTCCTCGTGACAAGGACTTTGTAAAATCAATGAGCTATGTCTTTAATATACTCATTGCACTTACAATTAATACTTATTACAATAAGTCATGGCTTTACTAGTTTGTTCTAACTTTAAATTAGATTGTGTTGCTTACCTTAGTTGGCGACCTAAAAGTAGAACAAACAAGATTTTAAAACTGCTCAAGCAAAATATGTCATGATGCACAAATACACAGCCATAATGAAATGACTTCGCTATGGAAATGTGGCTGAATAGCAAGCAGGAAGACAAGGCATTAATCCATTTATAACATAAATACCACCATATCAATACATCTCCATTCTCCCCAACAGAGATGATCAGTTACCAGACTCCTGAAATCTTACGTAAAGATTTCACTCTCATGAACAGGAACAATATTCTTGGCTGACATGCAGAGCTACAGGGTTACAAGACAAACGGTGAATAATGCTGATATGAACAATGCAGAACTGCAGAATTCATATCAGACCACACTTTAAAACTCAACAGAACTGATTTGGTCAACATTGATAAGGTTGTAGATCATAGATCAGATTCTAAATTGGCACAAGCTTAACTTTTACACCATTAAACTGGACCAAATACTGCGTTCACACCAATTCTACAGATATGGGACAAACTGAACTTCATTGTTCTAAAACATCACCTAAAACTGAAGTTCAATAATTGAATCCATAGAATTGCATAGTGAACATCACAACAATGATTAAAATCAAGTATGTAAATACAAATCTTCAAACACATCCATTTTGATGCGCATTTTATTGAATACTTACTCATCACTGTTAACACAAAACAGGGGAGAGGAAATGTTAATTACACATAACTTTTCAATAGTGTCTCAGTATAAATAAATGGCAATTAATCATGAGAGTATTAAGACTAAACGTGTGATAGTATAACATGGCATTTTTCCACTGGGTAGTTCGGTACAGCATGGCACAGTGACAAATCCAAACCCAGCACTATCAGCACCCTGCCTGAGTATCTGTGCCTGCGTCCCATCTTAGAACTATGAAAGTACACAGCACAACAGCACCCAGTACCACTAAACCCTACAGCACCCAGCACCACTAAACCCAACAGCACCCAGAACCACTAAACCCAACAGCTCAAGGCACCCCTACACCCAATGGTGCTCAGTAACCTAAACCCAACTGTACCCAGCACCGCTAAACGTTCCCAGCATCCTTGCTTCCATCTGTATCCTAAACATGTCAACCTAAAACCAACAGTACATCCCTTAAGCTAACAGTAGCCTGCACCTCTAAACCCCAAAGTACCCTGAAATCCTAAATCCAACATTACCCAGCACAGTTTTAGCACCTCTAAACCCAACAGTACCCAGTACCAATAAAATCATCAATAGAAGGCATAAACTCAGTAATACTCAACATCTCTCAATTCAACAGTATCTGGGACCCCTCAGTGCAGTAGTACCCAGTACCACCAAACCCAACAGTGCCCAGCAACACTACATCCAACAGCTCCCAGCACCCTAACCCCCAAGGGTACTCAGTACCCTTAACCAAACTTTGCCCAGCACCAAATGGCAAAAGTATTCAGCATTCCTAATCTCCAGAGTACCCAGCAACCCTAAACCCAAGGTTACCCTGCACCATTAACCCCAAAGTACACAGCATCCATACTTCCATCAGCATCCCAAACATATCACCATAGACTCAAACAGTGCACTCCTAAGCTGAATCGGACCCTGCTCCTCTAAATCCCAAGTACCCAGTGCCCATGAACCCAACAGTACCCTGCACTTCTAAATCCCAAAGTACCCTGCAACTCTAAGCCCAACATTATCTAGCACTTCTAAACTCAGTAGTATTTAGCAACCCAACAGTAACCAGCACCCCTCAACCCCAGTGTACCCACTGGCCTAAGCCTAAGTTTGCCCAGCATCCCTCAACCAAACAGCACCCAGGACGTCTAAACCCAACCGTATTCAACAGTCATCAGCCTCAACAGTACTCTGCTTCCCTAAATATCGAAGTACACAGCACCCAAAAACACAACAGTACCCTATGCCCCTAAATCTCAAAGTACCCAGTAACCCTTCAGTCCAACAGCATCCAGCTCCTCTAAACCTAAGAGCACCCTGCAGCCCTAAACCCAAAGTATCCAGCTCCTCTAAACCCAAGTGCCCAGCACTTCTAAACCCTAAAATATCATACAGGTCCCAATAATTCTAAACTCCCTCAAACCCAGAATCTTTAACCCAGCAGTACTCAGCAGTACCCTGAATCCAGGTCCTGCCCACACCCCTTAACACAGATTACTTACCCCCTTTTTCCCTCAAGGGTGTTCAGATGTGTCTCCAGAGACTCCAGCAGACTCTCAGGGGCCTGAAAATCCACAGCATAGAGTCAAGTTACCACAACAAGCTAAAACCTCACAGCTCTGCAGTCCTATAGGTATTAGGCACGAGACTAGAGAGAGACAGACAGCGAAGGCAAAGTGCATAAGGTTTATTTCATCTACCAGAAGAAAAAGATAACATTTCTAAAAACTGAACGCCAGTGTAAATGTCAAGTACCAGAAATCTATTATGTAGTGAAAGAACTGTGGAACATTACAGAAAGATTAGATGAATATAGCAGATGTAATCTGATACACATCCATGCTAAACAAATCAGTGCGCTTGATGAAATCCAGCTCCTTGATCCGTCCGCAAGTACAAGTTTGTGCTTCCTGCTCCAACACGTCCGTTTTATCCTGATGAAGAGCACTAAAGAGCTGAGCTGAGCATGTTAGAGCAGGAAAACACTACAGTGTGGAACACAGGGGTGTAAACTCAAGGCCATGTTTGAGAAACAATAATGTCAACATTTTGCAATGATCTGCTGAACGTTCCCCATGCGCTAGTCCAGCATCTCACCATGCACTGCAGCAAGCTTGGTCATGCATCCCGGCACAACAGACCTACAAAAGCATCTCATTGGCTGGACACATTTCACAACCACAGGTTAATATACAGAAGAGATAAACATGCCATGCATTCCCAGATATCTAGTACCACCTACTAATAAGGAACATAAAGGTCTTGTCTTCCAAACTCACGTCTGAAATCACTGGGTCCAAGACTATGGAACGAGCTTCCTGAGTCCCGAAGAAATTCTGGATCTTTTTTTGTAAATACTTAGACTTGTTTTTAATTCCTGTTTTGTTCTAAGAAATTCTTTAAGTAGAAATGAAAGACTCTTCATTTTAGATGTATCTTTTCAATGAATTTTGGTTTATTTTTCTGTAAAGCACCTTGAGTTGACCTTATCATGAAAAGTATGCTATGTAAATAACATTTATTATTAATTATTATTCATAAGCAACTGAATAAACCTGAAACACTCCCTCAAAAAGGATTCCAAGGCTTATAATGAATACATCTTGTAAGTGCCAGCATAGTATTGTAAGCACTGTGTGAATAACAGTGGCCAGAATATTTTCTAAAAAAAATACACTGCCCACAAAAGTAGCCACTGACACTTAGTTTAGGCTTCATAATAGTGTATTAGGCAGTATTTCATATTTATCATAAAAAAAAGTGTGTTTACTCTGTCTTTAATGTCCCTCCGGATATTGCAAATCATACAGTTAGAGACGTGCCTGAGATGCTGCTTATCTGCAAGACACCCTGAAAACATGAGGGACTGGCTTAAGCGAAGGCCAAACATGGTCTGTAATGACCTTCACTATTTCCTTCCTGCTTACTTACTCACAATAAGGACTGACTGGGACGTACATCACACCAGTCTCATTTTTTAATATTATATATATTATTTATCTACTACGCTTTAAACAGAGGGGATCATTCATGATAACAATTATTAAAGAGCAGAGGTAATGATGTTGGGAGAGGCCTCTTATGATCAATTCATTACACATAACTAAGAAAAAAGAGCCATTACTTGCTACATTTGCCCTGAAGCTTGAAAATGTTTTTCGGCTGAGCTACTATTTATAATTATTATTGTGTAAATTTGATTTTAAATCAAAGCATCGGTTTAAAGAATGCGTACTGTGTCCTTCCTGCATATTTCTGCTGTTCTGCTCTGTGTGAATGAACCCATAATGAAGTGCTAGCTTGATACAGAATTTGCACATCCATGCATGTCTCCCACCAGCATAGCCTGGACTCTGATCCAAAACCAGTTCAATCTGAACTCCAACACGCTGCATCAGAGCATGCTTTCACAGCAAGCCATCAAACCAACCCAGCGCATCTGAGGAAATAACTCTAATCCTGTCCATAGAGCTTCCACAACCTCAAAACCACATTAGCTTTAGAGCACTAGAGAAAACAGCCAGGGTCTTTACAAACTCATGGTTTGAAAATTTCATTATAACAAACTTCCTTTGATTTTCTGAGTATCTGAAATGTTTTCTAAAAATTCAGAAAAATGCAACAGTTTTCTTTAAAAATCAGAAAGGTCATTAGTGTTAGATTTTGTTGTACTAACTTTCAGTTAAAAAAAAAGTTGGCACAGTGTGTGAAACACAAATAAAAACAAAAAGTACAAATCTATTTGGCTTTCATTTAAACCAAAACAGGACAAAGACATAATATTTAAAATTGTTTTTTGTAAATATTTGCTTCTGTGATAGATACCAACACATGAGCAGAAACAGAAACACCGCCGACTTCTCTGGGCTCAAGCTCATCTAAAATGGACTGAAGCTCAGTGGAAACATGTATTGAGTCAGAAAGCTGAGCATCAGTCATGAAAAGGGGTCATCAAAAGGGGGTTCATTAGTTCTCATTTTAACATGACAACGCCGTTCTGCATCTGTTATAACAGCATGCCTGCATTATCAGAGAGTGTGAGTTCTAGATCGGTCTACCTGGAATCCAGAGACAACGTGAGGCACATTATGAAGTGCAAAATACTATATGGAAGCCGCCGTACAGCTGCACAGCTGCATAGCTGAGACATGTATTACCAAAGAATGGTAAATATTCTTCTTTCAAAAACTGGATCAATTTTAGTCTTCAATGACTATTGTTATTAAATGCTGTTAAAAGAAAAAGTGATGTTACACAATGGTAAACATGCTCCTGTGCCAACTTGCTTTTATATTTGTGGTTTGTATTTTGACATTTTGTTACTTGTAACTTATCTGAAAAAAATGAATAAGGAGCGGGGTGAGGTCACAGGTCACTAAAGACTAATGCATTTTAATGGTTTTAATGAATGTGGAAACTCTACTTCTGCTGAAATCCAGCTGTTTGATGCAAATGCTGGGCTAAAGCAGCTGCTCTAGGCCACATCTATCCCTGCAAGCGCCGTTTCTCTGCCCGTGACAGTTCAGTCGCATCCGCGTTCATTTAGAAAGAGAGAGCTGGTGTGCAGTTTAGTTTGTCGCTATCTGCCTCTCTCTCTCCCTCTCTGCACAGCCTGTTTCCTCGAAAAGCTGTATGCACTACACTCTACTCACACTCTCAGCCCGTGTGATCAATCTGCACCTCTGCAACAAGAACACAGGGCATAATATCAAACCGTCAATCATCAGAGTGGCTGCCACGATTGGCTGAATCGAGGAGAGAATGGATCCATGATCACGCCCTTTTCTAGTGGTGAAGTCTAGACCGAACTACTATGAGAACAACATGACATGAAAACTTGGTAAATGGATGCCTGTGATTGGCCAAAACTGACTCCAGGAAGCTGAGACAGAGGGGGTTTCTGGGATTTGTAGGCTGACCACCACCACACATGCAACACCATGTTAACGGACACCACAACACTGACATGCTATGTTAGTAATTATATGGAGAGAATGTAACACCATCATCATCATTATGGGGCAATAAAAGGAAAAAAGAAATAAAAAACCTACATGTGAAAAAAAATCAGCTCACCTGAGTGAGTTCTGGGATGTCGTTCTTGTCAATTCCGACTTGCTGTTAAGAAACAAGGATGCTGTTTTTTAAAACGCCAGGTTTAAACACTTTCTTTTTAATTAAACTTTATAAATCCATACTGAAAACAGAACATGTCTATATATTACCTCTGCAATTTTGAGGAACTCTGAAACTCGCGTCATTCGTGTCAGGAATCTTTTGTAGATTTCCAAAGCATCTCTGCACTGTCCTTTCTTCATCTGGAAAAATTTCTCTATAATAAATAAATAAATAAATCCATTATTATTTGCTTTGTGCTTTAGGTTTCAGGTAAATGGAAACACTGAGTAAATGAAGACTCTGAAAGTGTAGTTTATAAATTTCTGCTCCAGCTCTGATTGTCTTAATGGAGTAAGAAGAGGCTCTTGCCCAGGAGGTTAATGATTCCGTCGTTGTAGCAGGCATATAACTTGATCAGGTCCTTGAAGAGCAACAGAAAAGCAGCATTGATCACCCCATTGACAAGGTCATTTGGATGGACCTGGAAAAAAAAATAAAAAGAGCTTGAAAGACAAGCATCCATAACAAAACCTAAAATGGGATTATATATTCGATTTATGTGTTTATGCACTGCACTACATTCTCAAAACGAGCTTATATTGAGACAAAAGTAAAGGGTATTTTATAAAATGGTCTTCATGTATGTCCACTAAGCAGCACTACACTATAAATGCTATAAACGGTGATGATAAGTGATCATTAATTTATTTAGCCGACAGGAAACAGACTCACGTCAAACTCCAGCAGGGCGTCGATCTGACTCTGCAGGGTGGGCATGCCCTTCAACAGCTTATCTGTAGACATCGTTCTCATCACCCCGTCGGCCCTAAAACACACACGTTTATTTGGTTTTATGTTCCACAAAAGGTTACGTAAAAAAGTGGACAAGAAAAATGGGGCATACAGGCCCTTCAGTTCTGTCACTGAATAATTAATTCATTCATTTTTAATTCATTCATTTTTACAAGGCCATTTTCCAACATCTCTTAGAAATCATGAGGTTGTTTTTCCTTTGTCTTTAAAGCTGTAATCATAATTAATAGCCCTCTGGGGTCTGAGGGCATGTTCTTGATCTTTGCATATATTCTTAAATTCTCCTTTAAAGACCTTTACATGCGATCTGATACCCACATATCAGCATAGGAGCTCTGTGTACAGAGATAATTCAGCCCTAAAGCTGAAAAAATGAAATCTGGTTTTATAAATTCTTCATATCTCTTATGAAAACAGCTTTACTGATGTTGCCGAATTATTTTGCTCTGAAAATGTGTTTACCAAAGTCTCAGGATCACAAAAGTAGTGGACTGTATGAATAAAATAGTAGAAAAATGTTCTCCTCATCACTACTTTCCAAAACCGCTGCAGCAACTTCAGCAGCTGTAAACCTTTTAGACACCTGTGTTCGACTTGTTCGTCACCCTCAGGGGGTTAAGAGTAATATTTGGCAACAATCTCTGTGTTTATTGTCCTGCACTGCGCTTCTTTCAGAAAGCACTCTGGGCTGAAACACTTTGTGATTTCACAAAAACAGTTTGTGCAGATTAGTTTCCACATGCAAACTGTAGACACTGGGGTTTGAACAGAGTTCAAGCCTTTATTCTCATTGTGTCAGAGAAATGCTGATGAATCAGGTCAGCACTGCCGTTGTTTTGCTATTATTTATGGAATAACTAACCAGTTATACAGCAGTGGAAAGGCCGGCAGGACACTGCTGTGAGGATTTGATTGCATTCAGTCACAAGAGCATTAGTGAGATCAGGTACTGATGTTGGATGATGCTGAACTCATCCCAAAGTGGATGGAGCTCCATCACTCCAGAGAGCACGGTGCAATTCCACAGCCTGATCTCTCCTTTCCTTCTTAATTTCATTACAGTAATACTCTAATTTATTCTGTTAGGATCTGCACCACAAGCAGAAAGCTGGCTTCCTTCAAACACTGGAGTTCAGCCATGATTTCCCCAAATCCTGGATTCACTGGTTCCTCCAGAGAGTTTCCTCCCAGTGAGACAGACTTACCCTTTCTTCACTCGGCCGAAGTCAAAAGCCATCTGTCTGTATGCAAAAGCCTTCTCGTTCAGATATCTGCTGTAGCGCCTAATGAAGGTGGACATGTCGTAGCCTGAAACACAGAGAAAAATAAAGACCATCACAGCGAAATGTGTAATATTTTTATATATATGGTACTGTGAAAAAGTCTTAGGCACCCAAGCACATTATTTAAAGCCATTTATTTAAGTGTGATTTTGATTGTAAATACAATCACATAATTTTAGAATAGAAGCAAATATACATAAACAAGAATTTATGTTTGTAAGAAGTAGTTGATGTCTTCTGAGCCATTTTGAAGAACAAAGTTTATGAGGCAGCCTCTAATTATTCGTAGTTTTCATCCAACAGTCAGATTAAGAGCACTGCTGGTGGAATATAACACACCCACACTGAGGGCATTGAGGAGAAATCTATAAACAGACTTTGTTCATCTAGCTGGACTAAAACGTAACCTAATAAAACAGCAGTTTAAATAACAGTGAAGGTTAAATGTGTCAGCAGCTGTACAGTCTGTCACAGCGGTAAAGTTCGGCTACGATATAATAGTAATTTGAGTCATAAAGATCTGAATCTTAAAGCTAAGCTAACATGCTGCCACCAACTGAGCACCACTCACCACGAGAGCCAGTCTTGTCCAAAAAGTTACTGAGATTGAAAAGTGTGTTCCTGGAGGCGAGGAACTGGATAAATCTCTGAAATGAAGACCAAATCAGAATCAGAATCAGAATCGTTTTGTTTCGCCAAGTGTGTTACACATACAACGAATTCATCTCGGTGAGTCACACATGTATGACATTAACACACTGAACAGACCAGACAAACACAGACTGATAACAAGTACTGAGCTAAGAGAAAAGAAAAATAAACATACAATAAAAAGAATATAGAATAAAGAGTAATAATAAAAACAGTGTGAAAGGAGCTCAGGAGATACATATGAGACGTGTGAATATCTGTACATATGCAGGTCAAGCAGACGTGCTGTAAAAAATACTATAAAAACTATTATATACAGAATATTACAGAGTGATACTGATATTTGTTAAATTTGCTTGTACAGTAGTGCAAATAAGCTTTATGCTACAGGAGGAGTTACTGTAATACACTAAGGAGGTTTGATGGTCAGTTTAAGTGTAAAGTGTGAGTGTCCACTGTGGTTAACGATCTACAGCTCAGGAAAAAGGCTGTTAGCAGGTCTGGCTGTGCTGGTTTTGATGGTCCTGAATCTTCTACCAGAGAGAAGTGTCTGGAAGCGGTGATGTCCAAGATGAGAGGGGTCAGCTGTTATTTTACAAACCTCATCATTAATGACTGTTATTTTGCTTGTAAATCATACCAACAAAAATATTACCCTCCAATACAAAGGAATACACATTGGATTCAGTTTGAATGACTCAGATGATATCTATATCATATATATCTGTTGACAGGATGAGTAAACTAACTAGCTACAGTGGTGCTTGAAACTTTGTGAACTCTTCAGAATTTTCTATATTTCTGCATAAATTTGACCATAAATTTGATTTTCACAAGTCCTAATAGTAGATAAAGAAAACCAACTTCAACAAATGAGACAAAGAAATTAGACCTGGTCATTTATTTATTGAGGAGAATGATCCAATATTACAGATCTGTAAGTGGTATGTGAATCTCTGCTTTCAGTATCTGGTTTGACCCTCTTGTGCAGGAATAACTGCAGCTAAACGTTTCCGGTCACTGTTGATGAGTCCTGAACATCGGCTTGGTGGAGTTTTAGCCTCTCTGTACAAAACAGCTTCAGCTCTGTTATGTTGGTGGGTTTCCTACCATGAACTGCCGCTTCAGGCCCTTCCACAACATTTCTACAGGATTAAGATCAGGACTTTGATTTGGTCATTTCAAAACATTCATTTTATTCTTCTTCAACCTTTTCTTTGGCAGAACGACTTGTGTGCTTAGGGTCATTGTTTTGCTGCATGACCCACATTCTCTTGAGTTTCAGCTCACGGACAGACATCCTGAGATTTTTCTGACATGTTCCATCATTGATGGCCCTGACTGCCATCCCACTGATTGAAAACACCTGACTCCAATTTCACCTTCAAATGATCTGCTAATCCTAAAGGTTCACATACTTTTGCCACTTACAGATCTGTAATATTGAATTACTTTCCTTGATAAATAAATGACCAGGTCTAATATTTTTGTCTCATTTGTTTAATTTTGTTCTCTTTATCTATCATTATTACTTGTGTGAAAATCTGATGAAGTTTTAGATCAAATTCTTGCAGAAATATAGAAAATTCTCGAGGGTTCACAAACTTTCAAGCACCACTGTAAGTGTTATGCTAACGTAATAAAGGAGTGGGTGCAAGCGAAGGGGTGGCCAAGGTGGCCAGTGCCCTCCTTAAAATCTGATTGGCCACCCCAGATTCCACCCTTCAATATCTGCCACATCAACGCTTCCACCTCACAGAGTTTGTGCCTTTAATGGGAGAGTTGCCTTTAATCTTCAGTTCACAGCTGGACAACAACCAGGACACTACAGCTAATGTCATCAGTGCTACATCACAGGTGTTCAGTTAACCCCTTCAGGATTCCAGTCACACACACACAGACACACACACACACACACACACTCACAAACACACACAAACACACACACACACACACACACTCACACACACACACACACACACACACACACACACACACACTCACAAACACACACAAACACACACACACACACACACTCACACACACACACACACACACACACACACTCACACACACACACACACACACACACACTCACAAACACACACAAACACCACACACACACACACTCACACACACACACACACACACACACACACTCACAAACACACACAAACACACACACACACACACTCACACACACACACACACACACACAAACACACACACACACACACACACACACACACACACACACACACACTCACACACACACACACACACCACACTCACACACTCACACACACACACACACACACACACTCACACACACACACACACTCACACACTCACACACACACACACACACACTCACACACACACACACACACTCACACACTCACACACACACACACACACACACACACACACACACACACACTCACACACTCACACACACACACACACACACACACACTCACACACACACACACACACTCATACATTCATATCAGTATTTATTTAACCCTTTCAGATTAACATTCAGCTCTTTCTCTCAGTATAGTAATTATGGAGAAACTGTCTGAATGAGAGGAGTGAAGAAACTCACACATTCTCTTCAGAGTCAAACTGGTTTCTTACCCTTTTAAAACCACAGGCTCAGTATTTAACTACTAAACCTAAGGCTTAGTATTCTACTACTATGAATTACTAACTACTATACATTATTCGGTAACTATTATGTATTATTTAATAGCTACTATAAATTATTGAGTATCTACTATGAACAATTGAGTAGCTACTACCATTTATTCAGTAACTACCATAATATATCCAGTAACAACAGCTACAGTGGATTATTCAGTAAATACTATAAATCATTCTGTAACTGGTATGAATTATCCATTAATTATTATGAATTGTTCAGTAACTATTATACATAATTAACTACTAGAAATTACTGAGTAACTATTATGAATTAAGTAACTACTATATATACTGAATACTACAAATTAATCAGTAATTACTATACATTTTTTAGTAACTGATATCAATATTATGTAATAATTATTAGAAATTATTAGCTACTAAGAATTATAACCCTTTATTTTTAATGATTGGAATTAAACTAATTAAACTAGTAACTAATACAATTATTCATCAATGACTACTCACAATTAAGTAATTAGTATGAATTGTTCAGTAATATATGAATTAATGAATTCTACTACAACTACTTTATTTTTTAATTACTGAATTATGGAGTAACGATTTTAAATTATTTAGTAATTGCTATCAGTTATTAATAATTATTATAAATTACTCAGTAAGTACAAAAGAAACTAATGAGTACATTACGCAGTTATGAAAGTGAGGAAATGGAGTGAGCACCTGATCAGACCCTCAGTAAGAGGTTAAGGAGTCAAATCAGGGTTTCAAACACTAAACTTTAGAAAATAAAATACAGGAGTTATTAATAATGATCAATATTGACCTTTATAAACGTATATATAGTGATAAGATTAATGTCCATGTTCCTCAGTAATACAGTAATGTTCAGTGCTGGTTTAGGTCTCACCTCATTGCCGTGGACCATGAGGTGGTGTGTGGTGACCAGTGCCTTGAAGACGACGACCCAGCTGGCATTCCCTGCCCTCTCGAACAGCGTGTCGGCCATCTGAGGGATGTTCACATTGGACTCCTGTGTAGCCTGGATCAGATCTACGGGACAAACAGGAGCCGTTACACTCTGAAAGATAAAGTAGCGATTAAAAACAAACCTCCTGTATCGTCACATTAACAGACTTAAGGCCACATTTATGGGACTTTAGTGCACACAAAATGCACACAAGGTCACCACTGAGCAAACGTTTTACTGTGAATTACTTCATGAACATGCATCTCAGGACATAAAACTGCTGAGGCGCAATGCAAATTAACAACATGAAGCCTTTCACTAACATGAATGGTCCAAAAAAAGCTGCGTGTGTTTTTTAAAGGAGGCACAGTTACTTTGCAGATCTGTTAAAAAGAGCTTCTCTTCTCGTCTCTCTTCACATAAACACTGAGCAGTTCTCTTTCACTGCTTATCTATATATATATATATATATATATATATATATATATATGTATATGATGTACTCAAATTGCACTCTGGCTTTTGGAGTTTTGTTCTCAATTTACAATAAAATTGTAAAATTTACAATGAAGTCAGGAGTGTGGGGTGGTCCAAACTTTCAGTTTTAACTCTGGAAAATACCCACTGGGCATTTCTATTGATCTCATGTACAGAATAAACAGGTTTGAATACCCCTAGTCAAATAATATATTTTATTGATTTTCTAAAAAAGAAATGTGTCTCACATCCTCTACAGGGAACTTGGATTTAGCACATTTCTGCCAGTTTTAGTGCTCAATTTATATTTATTTGCAGAGTTTGACATTAGAAACAAATAAAGCATCAAATGTAAAGTGTCATAACTTTTTCACAGGCCAGGTTTTCTGTCATAAATGTGTTCAATTCAGCAAGTAAACAGTAAACAGTAAGATGATGTGCACTTATTTTCACTTCAACTAAACATGTCATTTGAACAAGGGTGCCCAAACTTTTGCATACAGCTGTACGAGTGCTGATTTGTTGATTAGTTTACTGAATGCAATGAATCTGACATACTGATATATCTGACTTAACAGCTCCATATAATCTCAGTGTCAGACAGATTCGCTCTGTCCACTCTCACACTGATCAACTCACTTCTCATACAGCCTGTCTGATCAAACACAGTGATCATCAAACACACGAAGATCTACAGATCCTTCAGAGATAAAACAGTCACACTGTACAACAGACTGAACCGCATCTGCAATACATACAATCAACAGGTTATTCATTACGGCAGAATTCAGTGTTTTACAAGACAACAGTGAACAAACACACTGACCAACATGTGTTTACAGTTCATACATGTGAGCGCAGAAACAGTTTGACCTGTGGTCTCAGACGTTTGGACCCCACTGAATGCAGTGCAGTTAGGAGCTTACAGAGTGTAACAGGCAGTGGTGGCGCACGGAAACGAGAAGATTTAAAGACCACCGGTGTAAATTATGCTTCACTGAATTCACTGAATTTAAAGGCGAGGCACTGTGTGCCCCATACGTAAAGAACCCGCTAAAGTACTTAAAAAAACACACACATATACTGGCGATATGCAAAAACATAAAGCTGACTAATTTCTAAACAGATGTTTTGTCTCTTTGCCCCTCGGGTCACCACTAATATCAAACTTTGGCTCCCTGTGAGCTCCAGTGCTCTTTTATAGACTTTCTGTTTCCCAAACTTCTATATGTTCAAAAACATATTATGGGTGATGGAACCCACACAGAAAGAGAGAGAGGCTGTTTACTGTTCCACAGCGTCCTTCACTCTCTCTCTCTCTCTCTCTCTCTCTCTCTCTCACACACACACACACACACACACACACACACACAGAGAGCAGAGCAGGACTGAGAGATCAATCCGTCCTCCATTCCTCATAAACCTGTCCTATATATCTAACCACACTGTCTGATGAAGGAAGGTTCCTGTTTCAAATGTTGGTTCCTCTCAGTGTTTCTTCTTTATGCTCATGTTTCTCTCTCAGAGTTCTGGTAGTGGTGGTTCTGGTTTGTTTTTTAGTCAGGGCTGTAATGGGGCCTACAGATTCAAAGTATGGATGTGCTCAGGCACTCGAGTACTCGGGTAACTGTTTGAGGTGCCAGTATAAAAATCACTGTTTGGATATTCGTTCTGTTTCATTATTGGAAGGGGAGAAAATATACAGGCTAACAGTTCAGTAAAACAAATGATCCATATATATATTACACTCAGACTTTGACATAAGCACGTTGCAAAGGACGTGTTGTTAAGGACGTGTCTGAGGGCAGAGACAGCTCAGCTGGCACGGCTTTTTTGCTAACTAGGCTACTGTCGCTGATCTTAGCTGGGTGAGAAACGGAGAAAATACATTTCTCTGACAAACTAACATGGCACATCATCCAGTGAGGAGAAGAGACCTCGTTTAGAAGACAGCAAGTCTCCAGTTACCGTTACACACACAGCCTGAGCTCGTTACCGTCTGAGCTCGTTACCGTTACACACACCATCTGAGCTCATTACCGTTACACACACACTGTCTGAGCTCGTTACCGTTACACACCGTCTAAATGACAGGCTTATCGGTCTGAGCATTATTAGCTCAAACATGAGCAGGGTTTGTGTGTTAGAGGGTCAGAGCGTGTCAGGCTGTGTCTGATCTGCCCTCTGAGGATGCCACCATTACACACTTTAATTACCTCCACATGCCCGGCTATTAGTTAGGGCAGTGCTGGCTAATTAAAGCAGCGGATATTCAGCTCTGCAGAAACACACACACTACAGAAGATTCACAGTCACAGCAATGATACAAGCTCCTTTTCTCAAATTTATTTATTTTTTTATTTAGATAAAAAAAAAAAAATACTGTACGAAAGCAAGTGTTTACACCTCAACTCCACATTTCTGCCTGTGTTCTCCACATCATCACGGCCCCCATATTATCTCACATGAGGCTGTATACCTCATTTATCAATTTCACAAAGTTATTACATATCATATAATGGGTCAAGACTTCTAATGCGTAAGCTGAAGCTGTGGAAGTAGTGTACATAGGTTAATGAATACATTACTATATGGTAAATACATCAAATACAGAGAGAGAGAGAGAGAGAGAGAGAGAGAGAGAGAGACTGGCATTTATAAAAGTGTGGAATTTTCCATTAACACTTGATTGAAAAAAAATATGAAATTATTTTTTTTAAATCAATAAAGGTAGGAGGCACAGTGCGAAGTGAAGGTTATCTGCTGACCCTGAGCTAAAAAAAGACCTTTTCTATTCTGTAACGGTCAGTAATGCGCTGGACTCTACACCAAGACTGTCCATCCTTATCCACAAATGGCTTGGGTGGAGTTTCACTCCAAACAAGCAGGAACTCACATGATTCCTTGTTTAATCTTAATGTAAACCCACAACCACACCGGCCTTTTGAGGATCAGACTAGATCCCCCTGATCTACACCAGCTGCCCATTTTATCAGGTCCACTGAGTGCTGGCCCTACCTAATAAGCAACATAAAAGCTGCTTAGGGCCCCATGGCCACCAGGGGGCCACATAACAACTTCCAGGTTATTGCTGTACCACTATGCTGGCTAAAATGCTTGAATGAGGGGAAAAGAAATAAACTGATTAATCATGTTTTGAAAAAGAATGTACATATCTGGAGCTGAACAAGGGAGAAAATGAGGAGAAAAAAGCTTAAAAATAAAGGTATGTTTTTTTTTTTTTGTAGTAATGTTAACGTTATGCTTGTTGGACAACAAGTAGTAGTGATCTGGGATCTAAAGCAGGTTCAGCTTAGAGCTTCAGCTTCACATAACCTAACAATCACAGGGTTAACTCATTTGAGTTCATCAGAGGACATGTGTAGGTGCACTGGTTATTTTGGACACTACCAACATTGTGAGCCCTGGTTGCCAATCATTACCAGGGTAAAGAAATCAGAGCTGGCAAGTTTCTCTACAGTGCATCACTTCACATCACAGCCCTGAGAATGGCTTTGTTTAGATGTTAACGACTTAAATACGAAGAAAATTTGAAAATGTAGAATTCCCCTTTAATCTCTAACAAGGAGCATTCTGACCCGCTACTGTTTTAGCTGCCATCTTGGCACACACACACACACACACACACACACACACACACACACACACACACACTCACACACACACACACACCATGTTACATAATCTGTGCGGCTGAACTGAGTGGCATCGCTCCTCCAGGGGTTTTGATAGCAAACTCACTGCAGCTCACTGAGACGGAGTGTAAACCGCCTGACCTTCGCCTGTCTCCTTCATCTCTACAAGAGCCAGTGCCAAACACTTTCTGGAAGGTTCTGCTGGCAGCCGATAAGCAGCATGGCTCCCGGGGGACGAGGGGGATAGAGGCGGCCAACAGGGACCACTTCCAGCTCAGCACTCAGACGACGAGGAGAAATTAAACGTGTTTGATTTATTGAGTTGTTCCTAGAACGGCCACTGCTAATTCAGTTCAGTTTCATTCGTGCTCTGCTTTCCACAACAGGCATCGTCCCAAAACAGCTTCCCAGAGGTTTCTCCAAATGCAGTCGGTCAGCTAAGACGTGTTCGGTGTCTGAAGTTTGTTTCTTTAATGTTGCACTGGAGTTATGAAGTTACTGTAGCTAATAAACAATAGAAGCTTTTGTGTATAAGTTGGCACTGTGTAATCCACGCCTGACCAGTCACATACTTGCCTTAAACCACATCAAGTTGTTAAGTCTAAATCTAGACCTGATTATGTGGTTTCTGAAACTGTTCTCTATAAAATTATCTTGAGGCCTGAATTCTGTCTGTACTTTTGTCCTGTTATTCTAGGTAACAGTTTGTCATTCAGTGTCAGAAACCACACAAGTAAGTCTATTTGATATTACTCAACAACTCAGTGCAGTTTTAGGGAAATGGCTGATAAATTAGACATGCAGTTCACACAATGTTAACAACTTACATGGCCAAGGGCCCAAAGTGTGATCACACACTTCTATAATCTAAGAATAGCTCAACCTGTTAGCACTGTAGTCCCTGCAGTTACTAAATAATAAGCCTGAGATTTTAAGGAGTTAACTAGTTC